TCTCTCCCATCAGCTGCATTTGTTCAGGATAGAACCATAGCCTTCAGTACCACCTTCAGTACTACCAACCTACCACATCAAGTAACAAGACAGGAATTGTGGGAATTGACTGAGTGTTTTGGAGATTGTAAACAAGATTGGCTAGAACTGTAAATGTTTGTACTTTTGAGTAAGTTCTTGGTTCCTTGTCACCTTATACCAGCTATCTTTGGTAGAAGCTACAGCATCCGATTTCCCTGAAAACGATCACCTTTTTGCATACAACAAATTTTACAATATCAAAACAAAATCTGCTTTATAAAACTGAAAATATGAAGCAGAAAACATTTGGATTTTATTCATAAAAAAATTAAATTCTTTGTAAAATTGAACTTCTCAACTAAAAATTGACAGTGTCCATGTGAAAATTTTAACTGTTAGCAGGTAGTTTGTGGCAAAGATGGCTAAATAATGAAGCAAATTTGAATTTGTGTCTACTAATGAGCTGCTTTTTTCTGTTGAGACTATCATTATTTGTCTTACCCAAGAGGCAATGACCTGAATTGGATGTCTGAATATAACTTATGCAGGAATAGTTCTGTAAATACATTTAAATAAACTGTAAAGATATTTAATAAATATAGTATTTATACTAATATCTGCACTCCTTTTAATTTTGAATAGTGACTAAATAAGAAACCAGCCCTTGACATAGTTTGTTGGTCTCTCTTGTCCTAATTTCCAAGGCTCTTAGTCAATCTAGCATTGACGCTTTGCTTCGTGACTGTTATTTTCTTTTACTAGTTTATCTGCCTGGGCTCTTTTTCACCAGCTGGTTTACTACATCAGTTTAGCTTCCTCAAAAATTCATCAAAATGGACTGATAATTGAATGTAAAATATAGATGGTTTCCCAGCTGAGAAGGCTTTTGCATCTTCCAAATGGTATGGGGTGAAGCACCAAAAAATCTGGTATAATTTAAATTGAGTGTTCTCTATCCAAATTCTAAAATCCCACTTAAATGCAGTTGAACAGTATAACTCTCTTTTACAGGCTGATTCTACATCCAGGCTTTTACGGATGATAAATAAGCCTTCACTGCCTGAAAACCCCCCTGCCTACATCAATGAGTGAACCAGACACTCATCCCCTGCAAGGAGACCTACAGTTACTCGTCTGTAAATGTGCTGTGTAGTCATCTGCATTTCTTAGAAATATGTGAAATTCAGTGGTAATCATCAGTGTAAACATAAGATACATAAATCTTTAGCCTACATGTGAGAGGACTTCGAAATTATGTGGGCATTGCCAGTTTCCACAAAAAGCTTGGTGAAAGCCCATTTTCATTCACTGAAGAACATTCTGGGATGAACTTGAGTTTTTATTAGGTTATTGTGGGCAGCTCTGACTCATAACTGAGCTAGCTACAAAAGCCAAAGTCATTCTGCTTTTAGAAGTCTGTTCACAGTTCTAAAGTTTACTGATTCACTCAGCCACCTTTGTTTATGAATTCCTCATAAAATCTAAAGAACAATTGCTTCCAGTTACCTTTTCCTTGGGCACTGAAGGTTTCACAAAGACTTAACAATAAGGTGTTATAAAAGTCTAGTTTGTCAGGTTATAATTGACTATAAACAGGTTTGGGGGAGGGAGAGGCATGCATCATAAAATATTACATAACAGTCTTTTTGTGCCAGAGTTTTTAGTCCGTTTGTGTAGGTAACAAGCTAATTCCTAAAGGGGAAAAGAACAGACATCTTCCATCTCAAAACCCAGGCTCTTGGCAGAGAGATCACTGCTCTATGTCAGATAATAAATGATTTTTTGGCATCACTTCCATTCTTTTTTTCATCACATCTGAAAAATCAGAATAATTTTAAGGCTATCAAAATTTTACAATATATATTTTAAAGCTGCAAAATGTGAGGGAGGTAGCTATATATTTTTATTCTTGACCCTTTTTCCCCTAATTTTACTTAAAATCTCAAAATATAAAAAGCAATGGACAAAAAGAAATCATGGCATTACATGAGAAAAGATTGCATAACTTTTTACTATATCTGAATGCACCAAAACTCTGCAGTCAAATACAAAAGATACCTGACTACTAGTCAGAAGACTACAAGCAATACTGTTCACTCCAAATGGCTGCTGAAGTTCAAATACGTTGACACAACTGGCAAAGAAAATGCTAAAAGCTCCAGGGTGAACGTGCATTGAATTGAAGAATTCTAATGAGCCTTTTTCCTGCACGGAAAACTCTTCTGCCTCCCAAGTAGCATAACGGATGTAAAGCAAATTACATACCCTTGACAAGCAGCTATTCCTAGATATGGCTGTTGTACAAGATGATGATTAGAAAAACAGAAGCCCATCCTCCATTTCAAGGACATCCAAGACAATACAGACTTAAGTGTGAAAACGTGTTTGAGGACTCCCTGGCCAAGCCATTAAAACACCACCAGGGTTGTGGGAGATGGAGACGGAGATTGCAGGTAGCTCTGCTTGACTCATCCATGTTCCCTTTCCCACCTGCTGTGACAAGCCGCCCTCCCTCCCTGTCTGTGCCTCAGCCCCTCCCACGCCTCCCCTCTACTGGATATGAATATCAGCATTGTAAACTAATGTCCCTCATCTTTAAAATACATAAAAAGCCCCATCCATTCCTCCCTCCAACTATCACTTCTGCTGTAGGAGTTGTCTACGCTTGCTGTTTTCATTTTCTCATTCTCAGTCCCATCCAGAAAAGCTCCTGACCCCACTACTTCACAGAACCTGTTCCTGTTATGGTCACCAAAAATTGCCACATCCTGAAGCCAATGACCATTTTCAGTCTTCATCCCACTTAATACTCTGACACGTTCTTCTCATACCTTCCTTGCACCACGCTTTCCTGGTCGCTCTTAAGACTTTCCAGCTGGCTCGCCCTCTTCTACCCACCCTTTCCATCAGGGTTTCTCAACCTCAGTGCTACTGACATTTGGGGCCTTGGGTTTCTTTGTTGTGGGGTCTGTCCTATGCATTGGAGAATATTGAGCAGCATCCCTGGCCTCTACCCACAAGGTGCCAGTAGCACCCGCCCTTCCCAAATTGTGACATCCAAATTTGTCTCCAGACATTGTCCAATGGCCTCTGGGGAGTACAACCGCCCTTGGCTAAGAACCACTGCTTTAAATGATGGCAGTCCTCTGTAACCTCTCCCTAGAATTCATTTACACCTGGTTGAAATTACCATCCATATGCCACGGAGTCTCAAAGTTAGAATTTGAACTTCAATCCACATATCCTAGTACCAACTTGATTTCTGCACCTTAACATACCCAAAACTGAATTCCTGATCTTAAGTGAGCATTGAACCTGTTTCTCCAAAACTAAGTCATCCTTGATACCTCCTTTGCCCTTACCCCGCGTAATCAATCCATCACCAAGTCCTGCTCCTTTCACCTCTTCAATTAGTTGTCTCGTCTGGCAGCTGCTCTCCATCTCCAAGGAATCACCATCTCTCAGATGCTACCGCTGAGTTTCCATTCTGGTTACTGCACCCTATTCATAATAGCAGCTACAGCTAACATCTTAAAAATTCAACTCTGTCAGCCCTCCCTGTTAAAACCCTTCAAATACTTTAAATGGCCATTTACATGGCTCTCAGGACTCTTCTGGCATGATGTGGCCCTCACCAATTGCTCTAGCTTCACCCTGTGCCATTGTTTCCGCCTGGCTACCTGCTCTCTAACCACACTGGCCAGCCCCTGTTCCTTGAAACCACCATGCTCCCTCCATCCCAGGGCCTTTGTACACAACACATGCATCCAACTCCCCCTCACTGTCCGATTTGACTGCCCTAAAAAGTCTGCTATGCTGCATAGGATAGTGGACTTCTAGAAATATTTGTCCTTTCAAATTTCTAATTCTAACAAACTCATCTTTCTAAATAATAGCAATAGCAAAACAGGCTTGAATAAAACAATCTATTGCAGTTTTTGCAATTATTTTTAACCTTTTAAATTGCAATTACTTTTGCGCCAATCTATGCTGTAAATGTAATGTCCTAAATGTAAAATTGGGACTATCATTTGATATACTTACATATCCAATAAAGTATGTTTATCATCAATAGATTTCATGAGGTTTAACATTATAGCATTCTGTGAAGCTTATCCATGTAGTAAAATGTCATTAATGTTATTAACTGCAACTCCACCATGAAGGAATCTGATGTTTGTTGGGATAAAATTTACATTGTACTATTATGAATAAAGGATATCTCAACCAGATTTAAAAAGTAAAATTAGAGGAACAGTTATTTTAGAAAACATTATCTGACTTTAGCATATTATAAGTATGCTATAAGCAATCATACTTGATTCTTTAAAACAAGTGATCCAAATTTGTACTTGAATATACTTTGTTAGAAATTACTCAGTGAGCACTGTAACCATTTAAAAAATTTTTGTTTTTATTTTTCAATTACAGTTAACATTCAATATTATATTAGTTCTAGGTGTACAGCACAGTGGTTAGACATTTATGTAGCTTAAGAAGCGATCCCCTCTGTAAGTCTAATAGCCACCTGGCACCATACATAGTTATTACATTACTGACTGTATTCCCTATGCTGTACTGTGCATCCTCGTGACTATTTTTTTAACTGCCAATTTGTACTCCTTTAATCCCTTGCAAAGGGATTTTTGTATTGATAGTCTATAAATCAGTCTTTCCTCCCTCTCACACGGGCTTCACCTCTCCCTTATCAAAAAGTAAAAAAATTAATTTTCAGGATATTGGGTATTGGGGACAGGCTGGGGCAGGGAGAGGACAAAGCGAGATGGATGATGAGAAATCTTGACTCAGACATGGTCGAGTCTCAGCGTCTTTCTTTTACCTTCCTGAGATACAGAGACCCAGGCACTTCCTCTGTGTCGCTGACACTGCTTTCTGGCACTGCAGTAATGTCTCCGTTGATTATAGGGCTGCCACAGTTTTCCAGTATGGAGATGTCTGTGAGAGTCTCATTAGGATAAAGCCTTTTGGGTGCTGCTTTTCCTGCGATATATTCCGTGGCCTTGCTGCCTTCTTCACCCGCCTTTGAATTTGAACATGCCACATCTGACCTGAGGTATTAATAGGAATCAAATGAGTGAACTGATTACTTTGAAATAGATATTTTTATATAACTAATGGAGCAATATGGGATGACAATGATAACACTGGTTTAGGGAATATACTGAAATAATATGGAACTATTGTTTGGAAAGTTAAGATTTACATACATGATTATTTAGAAATTTCTCTCGACAGATTTGAATTTTTCAGGAAAGCAACCCAGTGTGCATGAGACAATCTTATGGTAACAGGGCCAAGTTAGAAAAAAGAGTCAAATAAATTACATCTGTATGAAATTTTATGCAGTCATTTAAAAATCCCATTTCTAAGCCATAATCAGTGATATTGGAACATGTTCACAATATAATACTTTGTGGACAAAAAGCAGAATACAAAACTACAGATGCTATATGACCCTGATCTTGTTTTAAAATACAAGTGAAGTATATGCAAAAGAAAAAGTCTGAAAGAAAACACAGTGAGTCAAATGCTCACAGTGGCTATCTCTAGGGGCGATTGTGGGTGATACCGATTTTCTTCTTTGTCCTTTTCTGTTTTCCAAATTTCCCATAGTAACTTCGCTACTTTTACAGTTGAAGCACTCCCACCACCACCAAAAGAAAGTTATTAAAAGACCAAAACTAAAAAGAAAGGAAAACAATGGCTGACCCTATGTCTGAAAGAGTTGTAGGCAGTGAATACAGACTTTCCTGTGAACCTTAACACTGTGTCACTCCTAAAAGAAACAACCATTACAAATGGAAATGCATTTTGGTAACAACAAAGATAAAGCAGACAGTCCTGTTGAATTCTGATCAGAAGAGAAAAAGCAAAGATAGTGCAAGATTGGTGATGTTTCTGTTACGGTTAGGTCTTACTATACAGAGCTCTTCCGGATTCAGTCAAAATTTCTCATCTTCTGTTTTACTCCTCAGTTGTTTCCTGAATGAATGCCACTGAATTATTTCACAGTAAGATTGCAATGGCTTTTTCCCAGCCGATAAAAACATGAAGACATGGCCTTACCTTTCTCGTTTTTGTGAAAGACACAGCGATTGTGGAGAAGATTCTCTACTTGGCTCATCAGCTAATGTAGCCAAAACAAAGTTAGCTTCCAACAACATGCCATCAACACTTAATGCCATAGGCCTAAAAAGGCAAAGTCAGAGCAAGCATCACATTCATTTTCTGATGGACATCAGGAAGATATTAGAAAGTTCAGGAGTAAAAAGCAGTAAAAAAGTAGAAGTCCTTATTGTCTTTTCACAAATCAACACAGTCCTAAGAGCTGAAAGGGTCCTTAGAAATAAATCATCAGATCCAGTTTCATAAAACACATCTATCCTAACCCAATCCTAACCCAAATTTTAGTTCCAAAATATCATATAAAGTCCCATGGTTTCATAGATTTAACTTGTTTAAGCCATGTCCTAATTTTCTAATTAGGCAATTTATTCAGCACCATGTCAAGTGTTTTCACTCTGTAGAAGCATGTGTCTTTCTCAAGTTACCAATTTTAAAACGCTGTGTTATGGCATCTTTCAAAATTTTAGTTTGATAAGTGTTGCTAATAAAGTTATGGAATCCTGAGGTGTGAATTAGTTTCAAAGTGATCCAAAGGGTTCTATTATTAATATATAACAAAAGAAAAAGAAACAAACTCAGAAAAGTTTCTAAGGACCTACTTCCCGGGAATATCAAAATGAATTGATATAGGAGCACGTATAGCTTCTGAAAATGTCAGCATTCCCTGAAAGGAAAAGAAGAAGAAAAAACATGAGATCTTCATTAAAAACTACCAGTGAAAATTTTAATTTGATAAAAATTTTGGTTTACCTTTAATTCTTTGAGGCAAAAGGTTATTTCAGTGTCAACCCCTATTTGAAAGAAGTCAAACTCATCTGGGCCCACACACATCTCACTGTATACAGAATTGGTCAAATCTGTTTGATGTCGTGGGAAAAGAAAGAATAAAATTAGTTCCAGAGGTGTTTGTTAAATTCGGACAAAAATATAACCTAAGTGGTAGGTTAAAATTAGCGACAAATTCCTTGACATTCCTTGATTGGAATATAGGGTCTATGTCCGCGTCCCCTGTCCTAGAATCTGGGTGGGCGGGCTCTGAGTAGGATATGGTGAAGGACCTGGTGCTGGTTTCTGGGCCCAGGCCTTAGGAGACTGGTGAGTCTCCACCTCCTCTCCCCTCTAGCCACTTCCTCTATCCTGCGACACCGGCTCTTGGCACTCAGCCACCATGCTGACTTCATGCTATACAAAGTCCAAGTTAACGAAGTGGCCCCACATGTGTGCAGGTGCAGCCACTCTAGTTAAAACATTCCAGCTGAACTCTCGGCAGCAATTACCACCCATAACAGGGTGCCATCTTGGGTGTCTTCAGATGGTTCCAGACCCAGCCACTAACGGCCACGGCAGAAGAGACCCCAAGTGATAACTGCCCAGCTGAGCCCCATTAACCCACAGAACCATTAGAGAGAATAATAAATTATTTTAAGCCACTATATTTTGGAGTGGCTTGTTATAAGCATTTAAATAACCAGAATGCCATAAAAACTAGTTTATTCTAAAGGGAACTACTATTTATAAACATAGTTTACATATAAAAATTATATTTTATTTCATATCCCATCTCATTTCAAAGAGTATTAACAAAAGGATTAACAGATAATATACATGTATCATACTAAATTAGATAACACAGCTTAAAAGTGAATTTTAAAATCTTTTAATTGAGATATAGTTCACATACTATAACATTCACCATTTTAAAGTGTACAATTCAGTGGTTTTTAGTATGTTTATAAGGTGGTGCAACCATCACCACTATTTAATTCCAGAACATTTTGACCATTTCAAAAAGAAATCCTACACCCATTACCAATCATTCCCCATTCCCCCTCCTCCCAGCCCCTAGAAACCACTAATCTACTTTCTGTCTCTATGGAATTACCTATTTTGGACATTTCATATAAATGGAATCATAAAATATGTAGCTTTCTGTGTCTGGCTTCTTTCACTTAATATGATATTTTCCAGGCTCATCCATGTTGTAGCATCTGTCAGTACTTCATTCCCTTTTATTGCTGAATAATATTCCATTGTAGATAGACCACATTTTGTATATCCAGTTACAAGCTGCTGACTTTTGGGTGGTTTCCACTCTGTGGCTATCATGAATGATACTGCTATGAATGAGGTGGAAGCCACTTTTATTAAAGATATCAGAGAAACAAGACATAAAAAACTGGGTACCTTGATGATCATGCAGTAACCATACCAACCACTATTATTTTGTGCTTTCTGTCGTTCATAGCTGAAGATAATCCTAAGTGATACAATTTTTTTTAATTTATATTTTTGCATTTCATGTTTCCTTTAAAAGAGGTAAATCATATCTTGTAAGTCTTCTATTCAAGAAGAGATTATTGGATTTGAACTTTTCTCAGCAACTACTGTCATAATGAACACTTATGTTTGGAACTTTACATGTACTTTCCAAGATAATCAAATATACAGGCATTATGCCCTTTATTCCTTTATTACATATTTTTTTATGATTTAGAAATGAATGATGTACCAAAAGCACAAGTGACAAAAGAAAAAAGATAAATTGGACTTCATCAAAATAAAAAATTTTGTACTTCAAAGGACACCATCAAGAAAGTAAAAAGACAACCTATAGAATAGGAGAAAATATTTAAAATTATATACATGATAATGGGCTAATATTCAGAACAATAAAAAGACAAATAACCCAAGTGAAAAAATAAGCAAGGAATTTGAGCAGACATTTCCCCAAAAAAGATATCTAAATAACCAACAGGCACACAGAAAGATGCTCAACATATTAGTGATAAGGGAAATGAAAGATCAAAACTACAATAAGACAACATTTCACACCCACTAGGATGGCTATAGTCCAAAAGAGAGACAATAACAGTATTGGTGAGGGTGTGGAGAAATCAGAACCCTCCTACACTGCAGGTGGGAATGGAAAATGGTGCAGCCGCCTTGGAAAACAGTCTGGCAGTTTTTCAAAAACACTAAACATAAGAGTTACTGTACAACTCAGCAATTCCACTCGTAGGTACCTACCCAAGATGAAAACATGTCCACACAAAAGCTGTACATTAACGTTCATAGCAGCATTATTCATAAAAGCCAAAAAGTGAAACCAAAATGCCCATCAAATGATGAATAAACAAACAAAATGTGGCATATCCATACAATGGATTATTACTTAGCAGTAAAAAGAAACGTAGAGCTGATACATACAACTACATGAAAACGTAGTTGTACACGTTTTCAACAACAGGTTGAACAACCTGAAAACGTGATGCTAAGTGGAAAAAGCCAGACACAAAAAGCCACATTATATAATTCCATATATATGAAATGTCCCAGAATAGGCAATCCATAGAGACAAAGTAGATTAGTGGTTGCCTTGGGCTGGGGTGGGGGGGTTTGGAGGAAATACACAATGAATACTAATGGGTAAGGTTAGATGTGCTAGACTTGTGATAATGATCACACAACTCTGAATATACTAAAAATCACTAAATTGTACCCTTTTAATTGATAAATTGTATGGTGAGTTATATCTCAATAAAGCTGTTTTTAAAAAAGAATGATGAATATGGAAGGAAGATATTTTGTCTCCCAAACCCCATCCAATTTCCCCCTACCCCATCTTATCCTTCCCCCACCACACACACACAATATCTGTATATACTATCAATATTTTCAAACACTTTTGTTCAAAAACTAAATTCAATGTGATAATTACAATAAATTATACATTCTTCTTGAACTTGCCAACAATTTAGGACTGGCTGCAAGTTCATGTCACATAAATCAAACTATTTATGTTAAATACCAGAGATCTTATCTAAATTGTTCTAAGAATAAAATTTCTAATGGGAATGATATAAACAAAATTTTGAATCACATTTTTGTTTGCTTTTTCATTCATATCTTTAATAACTTAAACATCCTTCAGTATCTTTAACAAAACTTTGCAACACAAGGATCCTGAATGATAATTATATCTATAGGTGGGGGCTATTTTGGAAATCAAACTTTATTTTCAAACCCTTTAAGCAAATTTTTATTTTATTTTATTATTCTTTTTTAGCTGAGACATCCTGCCACCTGTTGGCAGCTCAGCGGCAGCTCAGCTCAGGCCGGGAATTGAACCGACGTTGCTCAGAACTCGCACTCTTGAGTGAGCTCTTAACCAACTGAGCCACTTGGCCAGCCCGCAAATTTTTATCTTAAAAGCCCAATCTCACATCTGTGTCTGTTTGCTCTAGCTATCAATGAGTCTTCAGTATTTCCTTATAGTTATGGACAGATTTACATTACATTTATTATTTATTCCTAGGTATTTAAACTTCTTTGTTGCTATTATGAATGGGTTTTTTTCCTTCCATTATGTTCTTTAACTGGATATTCTTTGTATATATGAAAGCTATTTTATGCATCTTTTATATCCTGCTACCTGAATTATTTTACTGTTTGAGTTAGTTTTTATCATTTATTCTCTAGAGTTTCCAGGTGTACTATCATGTCATTTTTAAATAGAGATGGTTGTACTTTTACTTTAGTGCCTCTAATTGACTTCTCTTATCTAACTCCATTGACTAATAACTCTGGTATAGTGTAAAATAGAAGAGGAGATAGTAGGTATCCCTGCCTTGTTTCTAATCTTAGTGGAAATTAGTGTTTTCCTATTAAGTAAGATGCTGGCTTTGGTATATGTAAAAAAATGTATATATTTTCACTTTAAGAAAGTGTCCATCAATTTATGTATTATTTCAGTGTTTTATATCGAGAATGAATGTTACACTTATTCTAAGGCTCTCTCAGCATCTGTGCAAATAATCATATAGATTTTTTTCCTTAAATCTATTGATACAGTGTTTTATGTTACTGGATTTTCTAATATTGAACCAACATTGCATTTCTGGAATAAATCCCACATTGTCATCGTACAGATTTCCTTAATGAAGTGTTGGATTTTGTTTCCTAATATTTTATTCAACTTTTAGGTATATTTTTAAAAATGAAAATATGATCCCATGTGCATACCATTTCATAATCTATTATATTTAATAATATATCCTATTTTTCCATCAAAAAGTACATTTTCCTAATTATTTGTGTGTGTTGGTGTTTTGTGTTTTCCACTACAAAATTAACTTCAATAAATATCTTTGATATATACTCTCAGAGAAAAAGGAACGTATATACACACACACACACACACACACACACAAAAGATTACTTTAATAGCTTCATAGTATTTCATTGCTTTCATTCAACCAATCTCCTGTTGTTAGATCTAAAGTATAGAAGGAGGTATTAAAAGTGCTTGTCTCTGGATAGCGGGGTTTCAGGTGACTTTTTTACTCGTGCTTTTTTGTGTTTTTTATTTTCTTCAATGAACATGAATTATGTAAGTATAAAAACAGAGGATAAATGGTATATAATTTTTAAAAGGGCCACACAATACCTTATAAATACCTTCATGTCAAACAAGAAGACTCATGTTACCCCTGGGGTGCAAGCACAGAGTAAGTTCAATAACAAAATTAAACAATTGGGTCCCCAGTCAACCATAACTACTCATTAGAAAGCTGCTCACAAGGGACATTTAGTATCTGCTGGTTATTAAATGGCCATCTTTATTCAGAGATGGCATTATGGAATATAAAACAGACCCTTTCACTAGCCAAGCACATATTTTCCAGAGCATGAATTCTGAGTGCCAAAAAAAAAAATGGATGAGACTTGGAGAATCATTAATAATAGCACAGTGATAATGAGCCTGAGTCCTGGAGCCCGACTGTCTGCACTCAGACCATAATCCACCACTTAACTGTGTGACACCAGGCAAGTCACTTAGTTTCTCTGTGCTTCATAGTCTTCATATAAAAAATGGGAATCCTAATAGTACCTACATCATAGAGTTGCTATGAAGAGCAAATGAATTAAAAAATGTAAACCCTTTGGAACAGAACCTGGCACAAACGAAACGCTGCCAAAGTCACCTGACCCAACTTAAGCCCTGGTTCTACTGGTTTTTCACTTCAAAATAAAACAGTTCCTCCCTTTGTATTCTTTCTTTACTGCTATCACCAAAAAAATTATCCAAGGTGAAAAGAGTCTCAAACAACTTGTGCCAAAAAGACCCAAGTAAATTTTCTGGATACCAAAACTCCTGAGTTTCTCCATTCCATCTAGATAACTCTTGGAAGAGCTGACATAGGAAATATTTACATTTCCTGTCCTATGTATTTGCCATCTGGACTATCTTACATTCCTAATTCAAATTTACTTTTTTCCTTCTTATGTAGACAAGATCATCTCAATCAGATTTCTGGCCTCTTAATTTTTCTTTATGCCAAACACAAAGCATGATAAAGAATGAAAAAACACACCTTAAAATTTTAACTGAAAAAAAGTTTTTCTCAGTAACCATTTTCCTAATTTTAAAATAATCAGAATTTCAAAGCCAAGTATTTTCGTTACTGATTGTGTTAAATTCCTGGGTCTCTTAAAAATTTTAATGATCTTTCTACATCTTACTGCTCTTTAGACAAAAAAAAATATATTATGCCATTAATATTTACTGTATGGTTAGTAATCAGGAAAGCCAGGGAGTAATATTCCATCAAAGCACCATGACAGATATAATGCTTACCCATTGATTCCTCACTGTAACTCTTAATGCAGACATTCCTGGGAGTAACAGCAAGAGTCATTTCTTCTTGATTCGATGTAAAAAGAACAATTGCCTCAGCAAGCACTCTATAAAATGCAATGAAAATATTACATTATTAAACAGCTTTCTAATAGGATTCAAATCTTTAATCTGGAATTAAATAGGTTGGCCTGGATTTAGAAAAATTTACCTGAAAGACCTTATCTTCTTTTTTCTATATGAGCTGCTATATGTTTTAGTGTATTTTAAAATTGTAACTTCACTTAAAGGCCGAGAGAATAGTAAAATATATTCTTGGTAATACATGTGAAAGCTGCAGTATACACCAAATACTAGAATAAAATGTCTTTAATTCTGTTTTTATATAACAAATATACCAGGAGTGCCAAAAAAGTGTATACAAGTGGACACTTAGGTCAACATGGCTCAAGCAGTAGTTCACCATAATCAGAAGTGTCTGGATGCTGATGGGAACCACTTTGAGCACTTCTTGTAACTGCAGAAGTCAAATGTGACTTGTATTTATCTTTTGTTATCGATATATATTGAGTATTACAATTTTTTTTTAAAGATTTTATTGGGGAATTGGGGGAGGGGAACAGACAAGTTGCTGTCGTTTTGTTCTTCAGTCTAGTTGTGGAGGATGTCACTTCACTGGCCCACGTTGGTATTATTGCGCTCTTCCCAGCTGAGGCAGTTGCTCGCCAGCCATTGGATGGCTGCTCACAGCGGCTCACGGAGCAGCTTGAGAAAGCGCATGCCAGCTTCGGGCCAGCCCCACTGCAGCCTACGCCGTCACCAGCGACTCACGGCAGCCCAGCTCCAGGTCGAGCTGTTGTTCACCATCTTAGCTGTAGAGGGTGCAGCATCACTGGCCCTCATGTGGGATCCGAACTGGAGCCCTGCTTTCCAGAGCTGGCGTCCCAAGCCAACTCTTAACCAATGTACCACTCGGCCGGCCCAAGTATTACTATTTTAATACAGTTTTCCTTTCTTAAAATGTGTATACATATTGTTGGCATCCTCTGTATATTTTTAGAAAATGGCCTGGGATCCTACTCCTAAGGGAGATAGTAGGACACAGAGCTGTTCTAATGGAACCAGGGTGAACAACGCTGGAGACCCAGTGCAAGGGTGAAGGCTTACAAGCAGCCTGCTGCCTATGTTCTCTCTCGCTTTGTTACTTGTCCTGAATTATTACCTACTATTCTCAAGGTTGTCTTGACATTCCAAATGCCCTTTCATCCTGTGCCCCCTTTTGAAAAACAGCTTTATTGAAATATGAGTCACATATTGCACAACTCACAGGTTTCAAGTTGTTTGATGTGTATTTCCCTAAAGACTAATGTTGAGCATCTTTTCAGGTGCTTGTTGGGTGTCTGTACATCTTCTTTGGCAAAAAGTCTATTCAAATCCTTGGCCTGTTTTTTAGGTAGGTTATTTGTCTTTTTATTATTGCATTATAAGTTCTGAGCTACTTTTTGAAATTGAGGTGTTGATAGATAAAAATGAGATTCTTAGAATATTTATAATGTTGGTGTTATCTTGATGCTAGACGTTAGCTCAGCAGTGTTTCTTGATGCCAAATCCATCTGGGAGCTTTTCCAGTGTTAAGGGAGAGGTGGTGTACAAGATACCAAATAACCTGATACCAAAAATGACAACATGAATGTGCAATTCAGAAAGGAAGAAAAATACAAATTGCTAATAAACATATGAAAAGATGCTCAGATGCCCTAATAATAAAATAAACACAACAATAAAAAACATCTAATAATACCATTTTCTACCTTTCATGTTGGCAAAATTTTTAAAGGTTGATCATATCTTACTTGGAAGAATTCTACACTTTTGGTGGGAATGTAAATTGGTACAGACTTTTCAGGAAGCAATTTGATAGTACATATGCAAATTTAAAATCTGTGTAAGCCTTTGAGTCATCCATTTCATTTCTATGACTATTTGTGTTAGGCAGCCTAGAAGATGGCCCCCAATGATCTCCATTTCCTTGTATTCATGCCCTTATATAATAATCTCCCCTTGAGTGTGGGCTGGACTTATAGATTCACTTTTAACAAAGAGAAAATGGCAGAAGTGATGAGGTGGCAATTCTGAGATTAGGTTATAAAAAGGGCATGGATTCCATCTTGGGAGTCTCCCTGCGTCTGTCTCTCTCTCTCTCTCTCTCTCTCTCTCTCTCTGACTACCAGCTGCCATGTTGTGAAGATATTCAGGCAGTCTACAGAGAGGATTGTGTGGTGAGGAACTCAGATCTACCAGCAACCACATGAGTGAATTTGGAAGTGGATGTTCTGAGGCCTCTCAACAGCCATGTCAGTGAGCATGGAAGTGACTCCCCATAAGTCCAGCCTTCAGATGAGGCTGCAGCCCTGGCTGACCCAACTTTTGAGACCTTGATTCCGAAGCACCCAGCTAAGCTGCACTTATTACTATGAAGTAATAAATGTCTGGTTTTTAAGCTCTATGTTTTAGGGAAATTTGCTCCATAGCAACAGATGACTAATACACTATCCTATGTACTATTAGCAGCATTGTTTCTGAGAGCAAAAAGTTGAAAACAACCTACTTTTCCACCAACAACAGTAGTCCCCCTTATCCGAGGTTTCGCTTTCCTCGGTTTTAGTCACCCCCAGTCAATTGTGGTCCAAAAATATTAAACGGAAAATTCCAGAAGTCATTCATAAGTTTTAAATTGCATGCCATTCTGAGTAGCGTGATGCAGTCTCATGCCATACTGCACTGTCCTGCTTGGGACATAAGCATCCCTTTGTCCAGCGTCTCCACACTGTATATGCTGTCCGCCTGTTAGTCACTTAGTAGCCATCTCGGTTATCAGATCACCAGCGTGTTATTGTAGTGCTGTGTTCAAGTCACCCTTATTTTACTTAATAATGGCCCCAAAGCACAACAGTAGTGATGCTGGAAATTCAGATATGCAGAGAGAATCCATAAAGCACTTCCTTTAAGTGAAAAGGTGAAAGTTCCCTACTTAATAAGGAAAGAAAAAAAAATCATATGCTGAGTTTGCTAAGATGTACAGTAAGAACAAATCTATCTGTGAAATTATAAAGAAGGAAAAGAAAATTGTGCTAGTCTTACTGTTGTACCTCAAACTGCAAAAGTTACGGCCACAGTGTGTGTTAAGTGCTTAGTTAAGATGGAAAAGGCATTAAATTCGTGGGTGGAAGGCATGAACAGAAAACATGTTGTGACCGATGGCAACATAATGTGCCAGAAAGCTTTGAGCCTGTATGAAGACTTAAGCAAGGGGGCTGAAACAAGTGACCACATTCACATAACTTTTATTACAGCATATTGTTATTATTGTTCTATTTTATTATTCATTATTAATCTCTTACTGTGCGTAGTTTATAAATTAAACTTTATCATAGGTATGTATCTATGTATGTATAGGGAAAAACATAGTATATAAAGGGTTTGGTACTATCCATGGTTTCAGGGATCCACTGGGGGTCCTGGAACGTAGCCCCTGTGGATAAAGGGGGACTACTGTAGGGTAATGGGTAAGTAAATTACCGTTCAGTAATACAATGGAAAAATTATGAGATCATTAAAAAGAATTAAGTGAACTGACATAGAAACTAAAAAAAGCAAGTTGTCAAACAATAATAACAGTGAGACATTTTCTTTGAAAAAACTATATATAAGTATTTCTCTAGTACGTGATATAAATTTGAGAAGGGGGAGAGAGAGAGAGAAAGAAACTGCTAAACCATAACTATAGGTGGAGGGAGAGTTACAGAGAGATTGTCTATAAATTTAACAAATATAGCTATAAACAGAAGAGGTAAAATGATACACAACAAATTATTAATATATGTTATCCCTACCAGCTGAGTATAGGGAGCAGGTAGAGGAGAAAGGCTGTCATTTGTTAATCTTGGCTCTCTTCTGTTTTTTTTCTAAATTTTAGATGTATTTCAAGGAGCACAGTATTTCTTTTGTAATTTAAAAAACAACAAGGATAAAATATCTTTTGGCTACAAAGCAATTAATGTTTAATGTTTAATGCTACAGCTTAACTGAAAAATTGAGTACACTTTCACTGACAAATAGCCTTACTCATTCTCTAGAGAAAAAAATGGAAACAGGGATAAAATCAGTTCACATAAAAAATGTTAAAATTTCCTCATGCTGTATGTTTTAAGACTCAGGCAGAAGGCATCATATAAATGCAAAGTGTTTTTAGATAATATATTTTTCTCTTGATATCACTTTATGTATAAAGCCACCGATGGAATATATTTAGCACTTTCTTGGCCACTAAATTATCACTGCTATCATTAGGCAGTTATTATCTACTATTATCTTTGTCATGGTTTCCTCTTGAGGATCCTGTATGGTGATTTCTCCATGTCCAGTGTTAGCTTTTAAAAAAAAACAAAAAACCTGATTTAAAAGCTCTAAGACATTAATTCTTTACTCAGTGACCATACTATATTCTGAAAAAGAGAAATAAACAACAGAGAACTCATTACCTTGGTTGAATCATTAGTGTATTACTACACGTATTCTTTTCAAAAATAACTTGCAAAGGCTGACTTTCTTGAAAACACACATTATGAGTCCTTTTAATACCTTAAAAAGAATAAAGCAATCTGTTAATAATTGTTAAGTTAAAATAACAAAATTAAAGTAATATTTAATATCTGGCAGGTGCACATAGCGTAGAGAAGCTCTTATTCCTTAACGAATGTGTTTATCGCTCCCTAGTGGACACCAGGCAACACGTCAGTCCCTGTAACCAACCAGGCAATAGAGTTCCCCCATTCTTCTAAAACACAGGTAATTTCCAAAGTTGTGTGTAGAATAGTGATTGCCCACTACTAATCAGATATCTATGATTCTCTTTCAGTATCCATCATCCAGGACTGCTATTTCTGGATGGGACCCTTGGAATATAAAGCTGAACATCTGGCCTGTGAATTCTTTTCCTCTGAGAGGAGGAGTGTGTAGCAGTAATGGCTATGGCCCCATGTGCCAGGAGCTGCGACATACATTTTACATCCATTACCTCTGATCCTCACAATATCCCTGTGAGGTAGGTCCTTAATCTCAGAAGAGGAAACTAGAGCTCGGGGAGACAAAATGACTTTTCAAGGCTATGCTGTTTTCACAAGTATAGTAGGTCCTCAAAAAATGTCATTTCATTCAAAAGTCCTTTCATTATAACACTGATGAGATGCCAGAGGAACTTAAATCTTGTTTATATCAATTAGCCTGTGGTGAAATTGGTTTCGTTATTCACCATTTCTCCTATCAACGACGTTAGGTGGAGATTTATTGTATAGCTGGATTTTGAATCTGAGTTTGAATATAGAGCCCATGTAATAAATCCAGGTGAGCTATAACTTTCCATAGCATAATAATGTTGCAGTGCAAATCAAAAGGTCTCATAAAAACATTTATCAACTTATTTTTTTACTGAAATATTTACAGCAACATTTACTGATTTAATAAATATTGGGTTGTCGGGAAAGTCATGACACATTTTTTGCAACGAAAAAAAACCAGAAAAAATACGTCATGACTTTTCCGACAACCCAATATTTGCTGAGCACCTACCATGTACAAGGCTCTATCAGTTAGCTTTTGCTGGATAACAAACCACTCCAAAATTTAGTGGCTCAACATAAACATTTGTTATTTCTCACAATTCAGCTGAGTAGTTCTGGCTTAGGCTGGCTTAGCTGTGGCTGGGTCATCTGGGATTGCCTTCATGTCTGGGCCTCAGCTGGGACAACTGGGACACATGGCTGAGGCCTCTCATTACAGGGTCTCTAATCTTCCAGGCATCTACACGGTGCTGTGCTTATTCTCATGCTGATGGGAAGGGTCCTAGTTTAACAGTGGAAGCCAACAGGCCTCTTGGAACTAGGCTTGGAACTCACACAATATCACTTCTGGTGCATTCTACTGCTATCAAAGCAAATCCATAGCCAGCCAAGATTTAAACTGGGGAAACAGATTCCAGCTTTTAAAGGGAGGGGCTGCAAATAATTTATGAATATATATATTCATAAATTATATATATATATAAAATATATATATTAATGTACCATACACAGGGACTATTGTAGGTATTGTAGGAGCTATGAGCTAGCAAAGAACAAATCAGACAAAAATCTCTATCCTCACAGAGCTTATGGTCTAGCAAGGGGAGACAGACAATAAGAAAACAAGTGAAAGAACTCGAATGCCACATAGTGGTAGTGCCACCGGACGAGAGGAAAGCACGCCAGTGGTGGTAGGCAGCAATGCTAAATAGGGAGGCTGAGGAAGACCTCATGCAAACGCCACCATCGAGCAAAGGCCTGGAGGGGGCGAAGGAGCAAGCCATGTGCTCTCTGGAGAAGCAGCCGCTGGGAGGCTGAGTGGAGCGGGCGGCAGGGGCACCGCTCCTGAGGAGGAGGCCCATGTGGGGCTTCCGAATCATGGCCACCGTCGGCCTGTACGGTCTTTGGCTCTTACTCTGGGTAAAATGGAGACGCTTCTGGAAAGCTCTGAGCTCTGGAGCGATGTAATCTGTGTGACTGCTGTTATAGGGAAACGCAAAGATCAAAAGCTGGCATATCTTACCTCTTCTAAAAAATATTTTCCAGTTACTTTTGGAGGGACGGGTAATAGATGCAGATGGTATGAAATTCAAAAGATACCAGAGAGCAGACATTGATCTCACTTCATCCTCACAACAACCCTGGAACATGAGGGTAGTTAGGATTATCCCCATTTTACAGAAAAGAAAGTGAAGGTCAGGGAGCTTATATACTGTCACAAAGCTAATAAGAAGTAGAGAAGAATCCACACCCAAATCTGTGTGATGTCAAGGCTTGCTGTGCTTTTAACCATGCTCTTTACTTGATTTTGCTATTCCATGAGCTAAAGTTCCAAGGAGGGAAAAAATAGTGTTAAATCATTGATATTTTGCAGGGGAAAAATTAAGGAATATAATTGTGAGCTGAAATAAAAATATTAAGATAAATGTAAGGCAAAATTAAGAAATATAAGATAAATTGTAACACTAAGACAACCTTCCAGAAGACCATTCCACTACAAAACAAGATTTGGACCAATATCACAAGTACAAGATTTTCTAAAGCATACAATTCTACCTGCTAACTTCAAATAAAACAGCAGAATCATAATAAATAAAATTAGAGCTAACACTTGGAAAATGTGCCAGGCATTCTTTTAAACACTTTAGAACTATAACTTCCTATGACTCACTGAATTCTCACAAAAACCCTAGGAGGCCGGTGCTAACATTATCCCTAAGTTACATATTGGGAAATTGAGGCACAGAGATGTAAAATCATTTCCCAAGGTCTCAGCAAAGAAGGGGCAGAGCAGGATTCCACCCCTCTGGAGTCCATGCTGTTAATCATCGTGCTATAGATATTTAAGCATGTAGAAGTCCTATGAGTACAACATTTGAATATCAACCATGCAAGGCTGGGAGGCAGGAAATCTGCTCTACAGCTTGGTGTGGTAGAGAGAATGAGTGAAGGTTTTGGCTTCTACTATTGTGTAGCTGAACTCAGATCCAGGCTCTGCAACGTACTAGTTCTGTGACCTTGGGTCAATTACCATGCTTCTTTCAGGCCCAGATTAATACTGTCTGGCCTCCTACAGAACTTTCAATACAGGTGGGCATTATTCTTTTCTGTTCCTACCAAGGAACACTGTTACCAAGGCACTCTTACAGAATACCATCAAACAGCTAGTTAGTTTTAGAACAACTAATTGTTTGGATTCAAAGGGACATTTAAAAAACCGGTTTGTATACAGGCAAAGGTTGTGCGACTGACAAGAAAAAAAAAAAAGAATTAATACCAATCATCTCACAATACTTACACAGAGACAAGTAAGATAATATTTTTCAAGTACTTACAACTGCTCTACCACAAAACCACACAAATTCCAAGCAATAATGCAATAGAAACTTGACATACAGTTTGAATATACTAAGCATGAAAAATATTAACAAAAAACACGTTAAACTAGTTTTAATTATACCTACCATGTCTGCAGAAGAATTGAAAAATTACTTTGCTCTTATCAGATCTGGTGAATATTTTGCACTTTTCTACATTTCTTTCGAGGGAATTCAGACATCTAAAGATGGGCAGAATTGACTGTAATACAAATACATTATACAACAGTATATACTTAATATAGTTGTTTGATTAGTTAAAAACCTAACAAAAGAAGAGTATGTATATTCATACATGAGTAATTTGTCCTGCATGCCACTTAAACCAGGTATTAAGTACAGGACAGATGTTATGTCCTATATACTGAATATTTCTACAATATAAGAGAAAAGCAGGGCTACTTATATATACCTTTATTCCCAATTTGCAATTTAAATTTGATATTGTGTCATTATCATTCATTTCCGCAGAAGTTGACCATTGATAATGTTGGAAAAACACAGGAGAGAAGAGGACACATCCATATGCTGACCGACAGGAATTCACAGATCTTAAAGCAAGCTGGAAAAATAAAATAATAGCTATTTAGGGGGGGAAAAAAATCAAGTTTCTTTAAATGATTAATTTAAAAATTTCTATTTTGTTTAACATCACAATTAAATGTGTTCAAAATAAGACTATGGGATAATTGTATTATATGGCTACATTATTCATATGAATTATAATACGTATTATATGACTGCATTATACAGTGTGTATTGAATTTGCATATGTATACACGTGTACATATCTATATTGAATACATATAGGTATCAAATCCAAAATCTTGCATGTTGAAATTGTAAAATTGTAAATGCCTACAGGGGCCTTAATTTTAATGCACAAAGTGGCAGAAGGCAATATAAAAGGGAATAAAAAAGATCGCAGCAAAATGGCGATCTCTTGCCTTGTCTATGTGGGGAAACCTTTAGTCAATGTCAGCCAGCTACTTTCACCTGGGATTGCAGGCCCCAAACTGTCAGGTCATCTGAGTTTTCAAGAGAAGCAGGAAATTCAGATTTTTATGTGAACTCTCCCAACTTTTAAGTGTTAGAAAATTATGTCAACTTTTTAAAAACACACAGTGCAGTCCCCACAAAACACTTCTTCAAGCTATATCTAGCCTCTTGACCACCAGTTTGTGACTTCTGGTTTAAATCGATTGTGTTTATCTGCCTGATTTTTAAATTGACTATGCTCTAAGTATATTCAGATATGTAAATAAAGATGAACAGTGAAAGGAATAATTACAATTTCTGGATTTCTTAGTTAACATTCAATCTGGACTGGGATCTTTCAGCTTCTTTTGCCTTAATAGATGGTCTATTAGTTAACTTCCTTACTTACACCTTTTTCAGATGGGTCTAGCCACAGCTCGTCACTAATTCTTGATAGAGCTTGCACTGCTTTCCCAAATACTATGGAGAAAAAGAAAGGTGATGCTTACATTCTTTCTCACAAACAATAAAAACAAATCATAGGCCTACTTCAGCATTCACAGGACTCGAATTCATAAAAACAGCTATTAGTTTTATAGACTAATGCTACAAACTGCTTCAAGAAATACAGTATAATGCTCTTGGCAAAATGCCAGGTTCATAGTAAGAGCTCAATAAATTCAGAGTATATAAAATGATAAAATGCAACAATGTTTGTTTGCAGTGTCCCATGGAGCTACTCTGGCAAGTCAATTTATTAATGTATTTTAATACTTGGCATTCCCTAACCCCCCTACCCCCCAAAAAAGTGTAGAACAGCATGGGGAGGATGGTTTGAAGGGCTTTAATAACTTGACAGGTGGCAAAGTCAAAACAAGTCATGAGAGAAATTAGAGGCATTCAAGATGCATCTCTGATATTTGAGGGCAGCATGAAAGATGCCAAATCTTCCCACCAAACACACTTAGATGCCCTTTCAGAAAAAGAGGCCAGGGCTGGATGGAATATTGGTCTGATCTTGTATAACACTGTTCATGTTATGAGTTATGAATAAGTACAAATGTGGTGAACAGATATGGAAAATTATGCTGCAATAAAAATGGATGGCTGTATCAATCCATGGAAAAGTAGAAAAAAGGACAAGTAATGCCATAACATAAAATCAGATTATAATGCTTAAGAATCAGCAGTGTGTGTTAAGTGTGTGGGTCTCAAACTGAAAAAGAAAGGATAACCAGAAAAAGAAAAAAAAGATAGAGGCATGTGTCCCTTTTTAATGCTTCACATTCACCATTTTCCCTAATGCAAACCTTGCATTCAGCCAGTGAATATTTACTGAGCACCTACTATGTTCCAAATACAACCCAAGGCAATGGGGGTATAGAGATGAACAAGACAAGTCTAGTTCCTGCCCTCATCGTGCTTAGGGTTCAGGAAGAAAAGCAAAATTAAATAATCATACAAATAATTGCTCATCAAGGATTGAGGTATATAGTGCAAAAGACAACTTCCTAGAAATCTGACAACACGCAATAGCAAGGGTGGGTGGGTCGTGGGAGGGAGGGGTTTCTGCTCCCTTTCTTGTTCGTTAATGCTGTTCCATAGATGTTTTCAACACAGGGGATGCCAGTCGCAAAACAAGATGGCTTTCAGTGATCGTTTTCAGGTTATAGTTTGTAGGGAATCACTGCTCTTCTAAATATAGACTTTCTGGAGTAATTTACATGTTTAAGTACCACTTACAACAAATAATCATTCCTGTACATTCCCATTTAATATTGAGCTCTTTACATGTATTTTCATTTCGTTCCTACAACCAACATTATAACAAAGATGTTGTATTTCCCATCTTACAGATGAGGAAACTGAACCCTGAAGTGATTCAGTGGCTTGTCCCAGGTCATAAACTTAGAAATGGTAGGATCTAAAATAAAAACCAGGTTTACGTTTTTCCCATGGCCCTAAAATAACTGCCCAAGCATTTCCCCCCCCCCCCGCACCCCTCCCGACGCAGTGACATCCGGTTTTGAGGCCCACTCTCCCGATCTCCGTCCCGATAGGGCAAATTAATTTCATTGACATTTATGAAGATAAATATTATGTATAAATCAAAGCACATTGGCCTTCATCCTCCGCTCAGCAGCTAACAGTATCCTGGGGGTGGGGGCTGGCTGTGGCCAGACTTTGGGTCCTCAGCCCTAACGTGTAAAGGCAAAGAGGACGAAATAAGACGACGGTGGAGACGCCCGCATGAACCTTAGGCTTTCTCTTTTTTCCATAGGAAAGGAAGAAAGGCCGCTCCACCTTTAACCTGACTGCCGTTCATCCCGCACTTCAGCATGGCTGCAGGCCCTAACAAGCCAGGTCCCGAAGCGCGCCTCAACTCGACGGCCCCAAGTGCCCGGATGTTGCCCACGCTTTTAGAAGCTTCGAGATTTCACTCCTCCCCTCTCCCTTCACTCTATCCCCGAGAGCAGCTTCGCTTTACGGCGGGGAAGGGCCTGTGCGGGCCTCCGTACGGTGGTCTCCTGTCGACCTCAGTTTTCATTGGTTGTGAGTGAGGTGGGCGGGTCGCCGAAGAGCCTGAGGAAGAGGGCGGCGGCGGCGGCGGCTGTGGTGACTGAGCGGATCCCAGTGACAGGATGGTGAGAATGGCAGCTGCGGCGACCGAGGCGCGGCTCTCGGGCCGGGTGCTGCGTCGTAGGGAGCCGCTGGGAGTCTCTGGGCGAGGGCGTAGGCCATCCCGAAGGCCTGGGCGGACGCGGCCCAAGCTCGGGCCTGGGGAAGGCCCAAGAGGAGGACAAGGGAGCGGCCACTTCTGGGTGCAGCCGGCCCTGGCCTTGCACCCCCGCCCCAGGGGCCTGAGGACGTCCGAGGGGGAAAAGGGGCCCTGTCAGCTGCTAGTTCTGTCACGAGACTCGCAAGCCCGAGCCGGGGAAGGCCTCTGGGCCTGTGATTCGAGCGCCCCCGAGAAAGGAGCTCTGTCCCCTTCCGTTTTCAGACGTTTCCCTACTTCTTCCCCGCAAAAAACACCCCCCACAGGTTGGGAGGTACCGGTTACCACCCCATGGGGCGAAAGCTGATTTCTCGGACGCAAAGCGGGAAGTAGCAAGCAGAATCCTTTACTCATCTAGGGAAAGGGGTTAAAAACGATCCCTTTCCACCCCTGAAATTTCGTGCAGCTGCCATTGCAGTGTGGTAGGTAGTGTGCCCTCCAAGGACTGCATTGGGCTCCTGGAATTGCTGGAACTACTTGTTTACTTAGGGGGCTGCGACCCTTTAGAGTAGGATTCCTTAATGGTCTGTGAACTCCTTGAAATCGTTTGGAAAAAATTAGGAATATATACTGTTTTGGGTAAAGGGCCATTGTTGGTGCCAAGGAGTAGTTTGGGGTGGTTTATTCATCACACTGCCCCCAGCCTGCTCCGAGGTCGGCGGCCCATCACCTTCTCACCCCCAATAGGTTGCTGCGCCTAAGACCAGTTTTCAGAGGTGCCCTTGACCCTCTGAAAAGTTAAGAACAGTCTCAAAAGGAGCTCTGATTATCTTGATGAGGTTTAAGTGTAAAATAACTTTTCTTTCTGATGGGCATCCATTGCATTTTTAAGATTATCACGATTCTATGACAAAGATAGCCTTTGAGGTGGCTTATGGACGTGACAAAAGATTTATCGTATATGCTTCTTTATATAATGTAAAAGGCGTTAATTCCACTTTTGATTTTTGCTTCTGAACAGACTCCAGTTTAGAGTCATTCACTTTACTGTAATTTTGCGACGGGTATCCCTGGGAGAAGGTGAAATTTCCTGACATGTTTATGGAGTTTTTTTTGAGAGGTGAACACTTTTTTAGGGTAGTTGTACTGGAACATCACTTTTCACATCAGATTGAAAGAACGGGGCATAATTTAGCATTAGCCGATTCTTTTATGATTAAAAGCATTTTATATGGCAAAGCAAACTAGAAATGTGCAACACTCTAGTAACATCCAGTGTCTATATAGGCAGCAAATTCAGGTGTGGGGATGATCCAGTTTTATCTGGAGGAACGTATTTGTTTTTATCATCTTTAGTTGGTGACTTCATCACTTGGTAATGTATTCATAGTACCGTGTTAGAGCTATACAAAATAATGACATAGCTGCCGCGTAATTTTACAGCTAGAATTTTGAACATAAAAGAATTACAATCAGTATACTTGAGGAATAATTAGGCCTTAAGAATCCAGAAAATGTTAGCTTTCATTTAAGCTATTACTGGTGAATTTTCCAAATTATCTTACAAAATTCTAAACAGAACAGTAAACGGAAGGGTTGAGAATCAATGTGGAGAATAAGATTAGGAAAAGTAGAAAAGAATTGACAAGGCAAATTTTTAAAAAGTGTGTGTGCGTGCGTGTATGTGTGTCATGTTTAAAAATACAGCAAATGGTTCTTTTGGTATTTTGAGCAAAGCTGATTTTTAACATTTTCTTTCATAACACTCAGAAATCATTAACAATTGTTTGCGTATTCATTTGATATGAGTTTTTTGTTCTTTTTTTGGTTTGTTTCTTTTCGTTGCTTTCTTTTAACATTGGTCATGTTTCACCCTTTTTTTTTCATTCCCCTGTCTGCAATCAACTTCTTCATTCCACTAAGGCTGGGCACAGAGTAAGTTTCTTCTCTCAGCAACTCCTAACAATGGTGGTCGGGTGTCTATTATTGGGATTTTCACCTTTATACAGTCTATCACATAGGAAGTAACCACATTCCTATGCTTTGATTGGGTTGATTCTTTATTTGAATTTCACAAAACTGCCATTTCCACGATCTTTTCTGTCTGCATTTAACCTGAACTGTCAAAGTGTGGAATTTAGGCAAGGATGCTCCTCACAGTATGACATTTGTTATGTGACACTGTTTCCATTATAACTTTTGTCACCTGTAGGAAACCAGAGTCCTAGTAAGGATCCTTACTAATTTGAAATAGTTTTTTTGTGGTTATTCATACAATTATATCTTTAGACTGCTGATAATCTGGGTACACTTGGGCATAATCCACAGTATATTATAGAATTTAGGTCATCAGTCATTATAAAGTATCATGTCTTACTAATGTTCTTCCTAGTTCATTCAAATTGAACAGCTCATTCATTATTAGTCCCAAACATTTTCAACCTGTTATAGACATGTACCCTTTGATGAGTTTGAGGTTATTCTTTTTTTAATATAGATATCTATTTTTTACCTTTTTCTCAAATACCAGTTTTCCCACATTAGTTATGTACTTCAATCCATATCTGAAGGGATCCCCCTCTAAAGATGAAGATTTTCTATCTCCAGGTACTTTTGTATTACCAATGAGGGTGGAAACTTCCTGGTGGTTTTTTAGTTTTACAGATGTTTTGTCCACTAAGATCTGGATTGAAGCAATTAATTTAAGTGTTGAGCAAATACCAGCTGAATCTACTCTTTATAAAGAAGCAGCTTATTTAACAATTTCTTTTAAAGTACGCTAATTTTGTAATCTTGTGTTACTTCACTCTACATCCTGATAACCGATCCTTTCCTTTGTAATCATTTTGATATTTGTTGCAAGATGAATCAAAATTGTTTCAGTAATAATTTTAATTTCACACATCATGTTTTTGATTAACTTCAATTTACAAAGTCTGTGGTGGCAAAACTATTTTCTGTTTTATCCTATTTTAGATATTTAATGCTTTCTTTGATAATAAGAAATATTCATGCCTTCTTTAAAACAGTTAAAGGGCATGTACGTTTATGGATGGGACATGTATAGGAAAACATGCTCTCATTGAATGAAGGTGCTTATACTGATCAACATGAAGAAATTGATTGTTGTCCTTATTTTTAAATGAACTTTTTTACAATATTCTGTTAGATTCAATTAAATAACATTTATATGTAAAATCTTGAAATTTTAGAATTAAAATTTTACAGGATTGAGTTTTTTTCATTTTATATTTAAGTGCAAAATTTATTTTTGTCATCTGAGACTATTGCAACTCTAAACCACCTTCTGCTAAATTCATCACTTATTTGGCTGATCTCTTCTTTTAATGATCTAAATGTACATGAAAGATTGTGAAAATGTTATTTTAATTTGGGGAACTAAACTACGGGTACATAGGCAATTTAATCTAGACAATGAAAATATGACAGTAAGGATTTCTAATAAGGAAAGAGAAGCTAAAGATTATAATTCAAAAGTACACATTTGCCCTATTGAAACTTTTTGAAATATTGGCTGTTTTTATTCATCTGTAATGTGTAGCTAATAGTTTTAAGTAGCAAATATTGTGAATTTTGGCTACTGTTCCTCCAAATAGTTGTCAGTCTAGTAAACATAAATTATAAAATTAAGTTTATCATTGCATTTTTTAACAATTCTCTATATTAATGTTCCTGGAATCAATACATGAGGTTTCACGGACTGCAGAAATATGAATTACCATATCAGTCTCCAAAAATGCCAAATTCCACAGGGCCGAGTAGTATATTTTTTATTTTGCAGTTTTTTTATTCAGTGTAATTGATAGATCCCTAAATGAATCACTTTAGAAAGCTTGATTTTATTCTTGGTAAATAGAATGATCTGTATTGTGTATGCATACCTGTTTGTGACCAAAATAAGATTGATTTAGAACAGAGTATGTTACCATACGTGTGTTTGATTAAATGGTCATGATAAGAAACTGTGTGAATAACTTATGCTCTTTTGTGTTTTGGAATCTCTGATTGGTTTCGCTTGAAGGGGGAGTTATGGGAGAAGAGTATCATGTTTTGACATCATGTTTAACATTACACCTTGTCTCACCTTGACACTTTAAGTTGGTGTTGGTATTAGGAGACCTGCACATCCCACACCGGTGCAACAGTTTGCCAGCTAAATTCAAAAAACTGCTGGTGCCGGGAAAGATTCAGCACATTCTCTGCACTGGAAATCTTTGCACCAAAGAGAGTTATGACTATCTCAAGACTCTGGCCGGTGATGTTCATATTGTGAGAGGAGACTTCGATGAGGTGATGTATTTCCCTTTCCTTTCCACGATTTCCTTTTCTTGGTTCTTACATATAGTTTTATCCGTTAGATCAGTTTCTTAACTGTTAAGGTCTTTTTTTTCCCCAAATATAAAATTACTACACAAACCCCTTCCTGTTTGAAAATCACTGGTTTTAGATTGCCCAAAACACATAGTAAATACTTGTTTTAACTAAATCGATATGGAGTAAAAGTGGTTTTGGCACCATTTTTTGTAGGATTATCATTTTGTTTAGAAAGTTTTGGGGTTCTTTTAGAAATTTTATTGGGGAACAATGTTTTTCCAGGACCCATCAGCTCCAAGTCAAGTAGTTGTCTTCAATCTAGTTGTGGAGGGTGCAGCTCCTTGGCCCATGTGGGAATCGAATCGGCAACCTTGGTGTTATGAGCCTGCACTCTAACCACCTGAGCTAACCAGCCACCCCTGTTTAGAAAGTTTTTGGTATGAACTCCTTCCACCACCTACTAGCCTGTTCCAAGTACCATATCACTTTCCTGTATTCCAGCTTCCTGATTCTACCCTTCCTCCCTCCACAGTTGGTTCTCCTAGTAGCAACCAGAGTGATCGTTTTTAGGGGAAGTAGGTCACATCATCATTCTGCTGAAAACCTTGCTGTGGCTCTCTGTCTCAAGGGTTAACTAACTATAAAGGGGCATGAGAAAGTTTTGAGGAGGCGATAGAACTGTTCTGTATGTTGATTGTGGCGGTGCTTACATGACTGAATGCATTTGTCAAAGCCCCTTGAATTGTACACTAAAAAGGATAATTTTAGTGTATGTAAATTACACCTCAATAGACCTGACTTTAAAAAAGAAAAAAATGAGTTAGCAGTTCTGGAGTTGTGACTTTGCCCATTAGTTAATAATGAGATTTTAGGCAAATTACATCCTCTTTTTGGCCTTAGTTTTCTTCTGTGTAAATATGATTGGAATAGATGATTTTTAAGACCCCTGCCCGTGCTAATATTGTATGATTTAGCAGGGTAAATCCGATTCTAGTATGAAAAATTTATGTTGTATCTCTGGGAATATAAGCTTTTCCATAAATTATTTAACTTCATTGGTACTTTTTAACAGGCTTCTTTTATACTAAACTGAATGAGCATAGTGTCTTTTTTTTTTAAGTGGATTTTTAAAAGGGTTTGGATAAACTAGAGATGGCATAGAGGTGAAAGATGGGGATGAGAAGGGAAGGGACAAACTTCTTGTTAATGATTAGAATATAGGTCTGATTTGTTAAAAACATTAGGGGTTATATTTGTGTTACACTAAAGACAGTTTCAATAGCAAGATTTAAAATTTTTCGCTTCTAATTTGCTAAATTCACAGACCCTGGTTTGAGTCTTGGATTAACCATTTAACTAACATTTGACCTTGGGCTGGTTATTTTAACCTCTCTGTGCCTCAGTTTTGTCATCCATAAAATGGGGGTCATAATAGAACCTGCCTCTTAGGATTGTTTGTTAAGTATTAGATAGGTTGATATTTATAAAGCCCTTAGAATAGTGCCTAGTTCGTACTAAGTACTATGTAAGTGTTAACTATTATTATTTTAAACCATCTATATAGCTATTAAAGCCTGGGGTGTAATTTAAACACACCCTAGATTACAGGTCATATGCCTGGGATTCTTAGGTAGAGGAAACGCACCAATTTGGGGGAATAACTTTTTCCACAGCATGCCCCAAAGAATTCATATTCTATAAAAAGAAACACAATAAAGAGGTTGCATGATAAATTCCAGTTATGTTTTGAGCATAGTTCCAACCTTAGAGACTGAGAAGAAATCAAATATTTAATAAATGTGTTGGTTGTGGAACACATCCATATGAAAGCAAATTATTTAAGCAGGTTGCTTTTTAAACATCAATATCTCTCAAACATATTTTTTCTTCTCTTTCTTATTTTAGAATCTGAATTATCCAGAACAGAAAGTTGTGACTGTTGGGCAGTTCAAAATTGGTTTGATCCATGGACATCAAGTTATTCCATGGGGAGATATGGCCAGCTTAGCTCTGTTGCAGAGGCAGTTTGATGTGGACATTCTTATCTCGGGACACACACACAAATTTGAAGCATTTGAGCATGAAAATAAATTCTACATTAACCCAGGTTCTGCCACTGGAGCATATAATGCCTTGGAAACGTGAGTAGCATACAATTTGGGAATTTGGGGGCTTTATAAGTTTAATAATTGCATGTGTGATACTTCATAAAAGAGAAATGCAACCATATAAATAATGATAGCCTTTTTGGCCATCTTCTTTTAGTGATTATTCTTTTTAATATTTAACAACCAGATTTCTCCTTGAATCCAAATTGTCAACTTAAATTTATAGTGCTGCAGCTTTTTAGTACAAAACACTGACATTATTTATATTTTCTTCTAGAAATATTATTCCTTCATTTGTATTGATGGATATCCAGGCTTCTACAGTTGTCACTTATGTGTATCAGCTAATTGGAGATGACGTGAAAGTAGAACGAATCGAATACAAAAAATCTTAAAGCCAGGCCTGTCTTGATTTTTCTGTTGGTTTTTTTGTTTTTTTTAATTCCCCTGTTCAAATCAAGTAATTAAACATTTAAGAGCCACAAAATTGTATCACTTTTATAATATTTTGCAGTAAAATATATCATCTTCTGTTAATACAATGTTCTAAGCTTCTTGTAAACTATAAGAATTTATTGAGTTTAAGTATATGATTTCTATGAACAAATGTCCACCACACGGTAAATGGTCACGTTAAGAAAAATTTATCCTTGTAAATATCTTCAAAGTTGATATTTGGAACTTTATTACAAAAGTAGTGCATGAGGAGAAAGAATCTGGACTTTCTTGTATACATTTTTCTCTTCTCCAGTAATAAACAGTTGCCTTTCATTTATACTTTTTTGATAAACTGTGTTTAATTTTTAAAAATCATAAAAACAAGAGACCAAATGAAACTGTGGACAAGTGTTAAAGTGATGAGGTAGACATGACCTTTCAGAGCTCTCTCATTTCTTACAACATTCTGGGTCATACATTGGACTTGGATTTCACTTTCTAAATAATATGCCATATGGAAGGGGAGAAGTACCCTAGAAGGAATATATAATATAAAGAATCCTCTCATTAGTACAGCCACACCCAACTTAATCAAATTCAAGAGGCCAAACGTTTGTGTGGCAATTTTCATAACAGGGAAAATTAATAATTCCATTTTTAAGTTGTATTCAAGCAACAAATATTTATTAAGCACCTTCTTTGCAAGCCAGGGTGTTATCTCTATCAAATGCTATTCTGTATTAGGATATTTCAGAGTTTTCCTCAGCCCAATCAAGAAAATACTTGTTGGATATGCTAATATTGCTGTTTTAGGACTTACTGTTAACAGAGAAAGAATTATACTATGCGTCAGATTTAAAGAAAAATAATTCAATTTTAAGTGACAAAAATTTTAATTTTATCGAGCTAGAAATAAAAGCATGTATTACACACAGACTTTATTACAATTATCATTGGTACACGGAACTACATCAAACCAATTACATTGTTGTAAAAGTTCCTAAACAAACCAAAATGACTTAATGGTAACTAACAATACTATCCTAAATGTGGAGAGAGGACACAATTCACAACCCCTTCCCCCTACTTTTGGCACATCATCAATACACAAGACAAGCTTGTCAAGTTAACATCAGATGTTCTTCTCCCCCTTCTTCAATTGACATTGACTGCATACACTTATTTAGTAAATCTTCTTCCTTTTTTTCTTCATTCATGTATGATTCAGAATCATTTGTAGAAACTGAAGACAAAAAAAAAAGAGTTTATAATGTCTGTTTTGGAAATAAAATTGTATTTCATCCTGAAACTTGAGATTTGTATATAAGAACAACCTTCAAAATGACCTGCTTTATTAATAAACCTTTAGCAAAAACAGATTGCCTGCAATTTTCAAAACTTAACTCCTCCTTTCCCTATGTCTCTTAACTTTTTAAAATAAGATACCTAATGCTATATTCTAGCCAAGTTCTCTGCTATTAAGTCCGATTTTCCCTTTGCTTTTAAAAATCTTAGAGGGAAGTTAGAGCTTCAGCATGCTCCACCTTCTTTAAGTTCCTTCTCATCCCTTTTCTCCAGGGACCACAGGGACCTTTCCTGTGGTTTCCTCCAGCTATTCTTTTTGGAACCAGACTTACCTTCTCCCCTACCATTTCACTCACTTCTTGAATAGGCATAGTATAGTATTTACAGCAGAGCTGAGTGGCACAGGCAATGGATTCAGAAGGCCTAACTTCCCTACGTCCTATCTACTTCCCGACTCACTGTGGTAGTAACTGGGAAATTACTTAATTTCCATTTTATCAATTGTGAGGACTACTGCTGAGCAGTCGGTCTTTCTTCCTCCTCTGCCTTTTTCATTTTGTGGCATTCTGTAATTGTGGCGGAAGGGTCTTGTATCCTGATCCTTCCCAAGTCTGGATTTTTCTGAGTTGCTCTGTAAAATTTTAATAATACCACCTGGTTGGCTTGCTTCCCCAGGTTGGTTGAATATTAAAATGGTATCAGTGATACAGCCCTTTGTAAACTTTGAAGTTATATAAAACATGTTGTCCATCCAAAAATGGCACTATCTCAAAAGAAGTGATACGGCTTGAAAAAGTTGTTTTTGTGAATCTGAGTTCTGACAAATTCATCCTTTGTGAAGTCTCTGACCTTGATATTATAAATATCTTTATTTAGAATTAGAAATACCTTGAATCTTACTTCCCTGAGCAGTGTGTTCTTTTAAAATGAAAGCAGAAACTATATTTCATGTTTAGTTTCATTTGGAACAATAAAAGCAAATCACATTCTAAATTATTATTTCTTCTGTAATAGAAACTATTGGGTTTAATATTTTTTAAGCATAAGATTTTAAAAAATTCATACTGTTAAAATTTCACATTTACCTGATTGTATGAACAGTCTGCCTGGTTTTCTAAAAATCTTCAGTGACTTACATCTTGTTTTAGACACATATCCAGGTTTTAAACTGTAAGAAAGAGAAGCATCTTAATTGGAACCAGCAAAGGGAACAGCTGCCTAATGCATGTGGAAGACCATACAGATTCTCTTTACTAAACTGCCAGTGTCACCGAAGAGACCCTTTAGCCCCTGGATTCTCCTGTGACTTATTAACCCCGAAATGGAAAGCTAAGTATTGTATAGGTTGAATAATTAGGCTTCTTATCTCTTTTTTTCCTCAATTTTTTGTTGATAGTATTCTCCTATGCAGAAGCAACCATATGCTTCTCCTTTTGGAAGTGTTTGTATCATTTTGAATTTGAGTGGGCATCACTGAAAAGGGCAGTCTTCCCTATCTCTAGCGGATCAAGAAATGTTTACAATTCCACAAAATAAGTTCTAAAAGAAGTGGCACATCCAGTTAGCTCAGTAGCTTTTTGTGCTTTTTGTCCAACCCTATTCTGAACTTAGCAAAGTCAACGTATGAGGGAACACAAGCTTTAATATCAGTTAGCTACCTTTCAAATAAAATCGGGGTACATTTTCCTCCTTTTAAACAATAAGAAACAGGCCCTTCTTTGTTTCTCACTGGTCGCCAGAGGGAATGCTGTATGATCATTTCAGGGACAGCAGCAGCTACGACCTGAGAAGGCCCTGAGTCTTCTCGCTCCAGTTGGTGTCGCCATGTAGTGCAGGGGTAATGGTGCTTCTGTGAGTAATGAGAACTGAGGCGGCTCCTGTGATGAGTGAGGACACCTGTCACACAAATCACCTTCGTTAGAAGACCCTCTCGTTTCCTGTGACAACTCGTGAGGAACTAACGGGAGGTGCACCTGCCTGGCTTTGGAGAGCTGTGCTCGACCATGTGCATGTACTGCCTCTTCATTAATGTCCTCAGGTAGTTGGCATTGTAGATCTTAGCAATGCTGCACAGATAACGCTTCTGGCCCATGGTGAAGTCTGGATGCTGGAAGACAGAACTAGGTTTACAGGCTTTTATCTGAAAGAAAGAATGTTCCGCAGAGTTGTACCATCTGTGCATGTTACTTAAGCAAATTCAACGATGTCAGTTTGGCCAAAAAGAAAGAAATGGCCATTGAAACAGTACAAGGGACTCTGCCTGCCATTTCCACTGAAGTGGTTCAGATGCCCGATGAGGTGTGAGAACCACTGCCCTAGAAGAATAAGGAAAGTCGGAACCTGCTGTTATGTCAGTGAGTCTTCATTCCATGTGCCTCTCAGTGAGTGTGGACATCTCGCCTTCTACGCAACATGGTACCTAAAAAGCAACCCAATTACTTAAACTAAAGAAACTGTCTTTTCTAGCACCACACTGAGGGATAGTCTGTGGGTCTCTGATAAAAGCCATTTCGACTAAGACTTTCACTTTACTTGCCTGATTTTAGAAGTTAACACTCACCTAAAATGCAAGACCCCACTATATATATCTAGTATATTTACACACACAGGATTTACTGAACCAGATAGGTAAGAAATCCAGAGAAAATGCAGATTGTTGGCAAGAAACACTTACCAATTTGCACATCTTTGTAACCCTAATTTGTGTTGCTCTGGAGAAGATAGTCTGGCAGCTATGAACTTTACAGGTCAACAGTTGTAAAAGACTTACTGTAATTTACTTGCTTGCTTCTAATTGTGTAGTCCTTGTGCAAAATCTTTATGAGGTTGGGTTTTCATCTCTAGAATGGAACTTTCCTCAAGCATCTTTGTGTTTGGAGTATTGAGCTTCCTGCATAAAGGTACATCAGATCTGAAGTATCATAAAGCCCTGAAAGAACTCTTATAAGAAATCTATAATGACAAAATTCTTGCACTCATTCATGAGTTTACCCAGCAGATATGTATGGACTCCTAGACAATATGGTGTGTGCACTTTGTCTTCTGCAGTGCCTTACCTTCTAAGTAGCTTATTTTCAATAAAAAGTTAAGCTCTGCATACAAAGAGTGTATTTAAAGCATTGGCAGGTAGTTAGCATACCTTTAGAAAGGACGCATCCGTCATTGATTTAGGGATGTGAATTGTTTGAATTTGAGGAGTTTTCCTTAACTCTTGCAGCTTGACTACGTGTGAGTTTACTTTGTGTCCATCTTTGATTCCATCTGTAGGCAAGGACATTATTATGTGAATTTCATGAGAAAGATCAGTTCAACAAACTACTTATTAAGATCTATGTATTTACATGTGTCAGTGATTATCCTGGAGTAGTGGCATGAGTCAGATTTAAATTTGAAGAGACTATATGATATGCCACTTAGTTTTAGAGCATACAAAAATCTAAGATATTTATAAATATTTACTCTATCATTATATATGGACTACATTATTTTGAGCTCAGCTGAGATGCAAGCTCATACCTTTTTTTAGTTTATTGTATGTCAGGTCATACTGAACAGGAATATACATGCAGGATTTGCACTTTAAAGATTTACAACACAATTTTATCATTCGTTAGACTTTAGTATATAGTTTAAAAATTCTATTTTGTATTAGGCTCAAGATAGAATAACACAGATTTAACCCCCTTAATAAGGCAGTGTTAAAATGAAGGGCTTTGCAGGGGCGGCCAGTTAGCTCACTTGGTTAGAGCACAGTGCTCATAACACCAAGGTTGTTGGTTTGATTCCCCACATGGGCCACTGAGTTGCACCCTCCACAACTAGTTTGAGGACAACTACTTGACTTGAAGCTGATGGGTCCTGGAAAAATACACTGTTCCCTAATAAAATAAAATAAAAAATGAAGGGCTTTGCAGAAATTTATTAGAACTACTTTTACATAATTGCAGTTCTCTCATTGTTTTAAATACTGATGTGGGTAGATTAAAAGAATAGTCTTTTAGTAAAAATAAAAATTGAGGCATATTCCCAGAAGAATGGAAACTAGTTTTCAGTTTCATACATATTGAGACTAATAATTTAGGGTATAAACTTCAGTAGCAGTTTGGGAAGAAACCGTATCTGGCAAAATTTAATCAGGAAATAATTCTTTGTAACACTTCCCTCTCCCCACACACACCTCTCCAGGCAACTCATGTGCTATCACTGTAAATTAGTTTGCATTCTCTTGAGTTTGATATCAACGGAAACCAATATATTTTGTTTTTGTCTGGCTTTTTTCACTCAGCATAATTAATTTGAAGTCCATCCATTCCTGTTTATTGTTGGGTCATATTCCATTGTATGTATGTATATAACACAATTTGCTTATACACCCAGCTCTTCACGGACATTTAGGTTGTTTCCAGTTTGGGGCTACCAAAAATAAAGCTGGCAGAATAGATTTTAAGTTAAAAGTTTGTATTTGGTAAAGTGAATTAAATAAGCATAGTTTTGTTTCAATATTATTGACAACAAAGGCCACTATAATTTTACATATTAAACTTTAAATTTATTTACTTCTTTAAGATTTGGGCAAATCAGATAGTGCAGATAAGAGTTTATATTTGTATACTGAAGGAGTAACTACAATATTTTGCAACAAATAGAAATCATCTGGAAATTATGTTATTAGGACCCTTAAATCATAGTTTGGAATCTGTAATCATAAAATGAATATCAAGTCAACATTTGAAAAGTTTATTTTTAGGAGTGGCCGGTTAGCTCGGGTGGTTAGAACGCAGGCTCCTATCACCAAGGTTGCCGGTTTGATCCCCACATGGGCCAAGGAGCTGCGCCTTCCACAACTAGATTGAAACAACGACTTGACTGGGAACTGATGGGTCCTGGAAAAACACACTGCTCCCCAATAAAATTTAAAAAAAAAGGGCCGGCTGAGTGACTCAGTTGGTTCAGAGCTCGCTCAAGAGTGCAAACTGTGAGCAACAGGGTTGCCGGTTCAATTCCTGGCCCAAGCTGAGCTGCCGCTGAGCTGCCAACAGGTGGCAGGATAGCTCAGCTAAAAAAAAAACAAACAAAAAAGTTTATTTAAAAAAAATTCCTTCTTAAGTCATAATTGTGGGCTAATTATCTAAGAATATATCTTTTGTGTCCCTGCTAATACACATTTCTGAGGTACATATTATAGCCTGAGCTAAAATTTAATTTCTCAAAAGCTTGATAGCATTTCTTTACAGAAAATGAAACATTTAAAAATACTAGTTAACAACAAACAACTGACTTGAAATATGAGCAAAGGACTTGAATAGACTTTGAATGTCTCCAAAAAAGATACACAAATGGCCAATAAGAGCATGAAAAGATGCTCACTGTCACTAATCATCAGGGAAATGCAAATCAAAATCACAATGAGATACCACTTCATACCCATAGCATGATAATCATAAAAAAAAAAAAAACAGAACCCCAATGTTAGCTAGGATGTGGAGAAACTGGAATCCTGTGCATTGCGGGTGGTAATGTAAAATGGTGCAGCTGCTGTGGATACAGTATGGCAGTTCCTCAAAAAATTAAATGTAGGATTGCCATATGATTCAGCAATTCCATTTTTAAACCACACTTTATGTAATATATGTATATGTATATGTATGTATACACACACACACACACACACAGATATGTGCATGTGTGTTTTCCATAGGTAACTGTAAGGACTATAAATTTTCCAAGAAAAGGCCAAGTGAATCCAGGTTTAGATATCATTGAATTGAAATTGCTTCCCCCCAAAAAAATTTGTGAGAGGCCTTTGGGGGCCTGCCTTACTCTCTTAACTCCAGCTTTATCCTTTACTTGGAGGGGGAGGAAAATAGGAGCATTGATAAATATTTTATGTTCTTTGAAGTTGTTCAATTTAGAATTTTTTCTTTCAGTCTGTGAATAAACCCCAGGCTGTGCTCTCTGTGCTTTCAACCAACATCAGTTATAAATAGTTTTCAGATTCACTGCTATTTTGAAGTATGCTTTTTAAAATGCTTGATGTAAGATATCTTAATGGGAGACAAAGAACATGCTGGATTGTTCTTTGAAAAATCTTAAAGACTAGTTCACCAGGGATGCTAATAAAGTCTATTTTAAAAACTCCATTATATGAGTAGTTACAGCAGAACTGGCTTCTCAGAACCGTGTTATTTATAGGTATTATCTGCTCTACTCACCAGTACCTTTGGAATTCTGGTAATAAGAATGTCCAGGTGATCTGTTGAAAAAAAAAAGGATGTAAATAATATGTAATAATTGACAGCTTTATAAGCATTAAAGTATTTTAAATGAAAAAGACAACACTGCATATGCTCTTTACTTTTCATGTTTCCATCAGACGGAATGTCTTGCAATTCTGTAATTCTGGTTATATTCTAATAGCTCCAGACATTTTCAAAGTGACTTATCTGAGATTTTTACCTTACTAGACAGGATTCACTTTAAGCCAGACTTGGTCTTTTTATAGCCTCCTCGTCTAATTCCTACATTGAGTTCAGTAAAGTAGTTTGGGCTTCTGTGCTATCCATAATATTTTCTTGTTCTCATTATTTTTAATAATCTGGCTATGGAAAAGACTGTCTTGTTCTTTATTGTATACAATTAAGTTGTATACAATACAACTGAACTAAGTTGGTTTGGAATGCTTCTAATTTTGGGTAAGTTCTCTCAAATTAAGACAAAACACCCTTCCTTCCCTGTCTTTCAATTTATTCAATGGACAAGAGTTCACTGATCTGATATACTAGGATCCAGCACTTCACTAAACATTGTGATGAACAGAAAAGAAACACAAAACCTCATCCCATCTTTAATAAGTCTTCAATCCACCAGATACTAAAAAAAAAAAAAAAAAAAAAAAAAAAAAAAAAAAAAAGATTGTCATGGGTGCAGCCGGAGCCATAGTCGTGAGCTGAATTGGAGAGGAACAACCGGCAGCTCTCGCTTTTAGGGAATAATGGATGAAAGGGATGAGGAGGTACTGCCTCCAGCAGTGACTTCGACAATTAATTGTCTTTAGCATCCAGGAAATAATAGTAAAATCCTGCTCAAAACAAATGGATTTCTGTGTGAAGAAAATGTCAAGATCAAGGTGCCTGTAATATTCGTAGTCCCTGTTTTACTGGAGATTATGAATCCCCATTTGACATAAACTCGCCAATGTCACACACAGGTAACTAATTTATTGACTTGGAAGCCCTCGGTTGAGCCAGGGGATTGTTCCCGCAGTCTCCCCTTCTCTCCCAGCCCAGCTCATGTAGAGATCCCGTGGCCAGACCGCAATTTTTCCAGCAGGTTTTGCAGCGCCCCCTCGGGGCAGAAAGATGCACGCAGGCGGCTGTCGCAGTCACCGCGTTCAGTCATTGCACCAAATCCTCCTCCTCACAAACCCTTCCCCTAAGTGAGTCGGTTTCCATTCCCATCCCGACCACAACAGAGGTTCTCCCGCTTTTCACTTCAGTGCACTGGAGACCTGTCCATTGGAGCAGCCAGCTCCCAATTCCTCTTCTATAGGGAGATTACGACCCGGGGCCGGTCGCCATCCCCCCTAACCCCCTCAGGGCCCCGCAGCCTCACCCGCCGCCGCCGCCCTCGGTCCTGGCCACTGCAGGCGGCTCTGCGGAAGAGCTGCACTCCGTCCAGTCGGACACCAGACCCTGGCCGGGCATCTCGTCCCGGGTGCCCGGACCGCGAGCTGTGTGCAGGAAAAGCTTTCCCCTCTACCCCTCCCCCGTCAGCACGCGTGCGTCAGGCAGGGTGATATTGGGGGTGAAGGGGCGGACGCCGGATTCTAGCACCCTCCGATACGCTGCGGACACTGCCCGAATAGCTTCGGGAGAGCGGCGAGGGCAGATCCACGATCCTGGAGTTAGACTGGGGGAGGGGCGGGAGTTCTTTAGTTGATGGCGCGTCCGCACGTTTGTATCTTTTTGTGGAATGGATGCGTCACGGAAACGAAATATACATGCGCTCTAAAACAGGAGGTGCCTTCCACCTCTGCATTCCAGACTCTCAGCAAATTTACAAATCTTGAGTGTGTCACCATATAGGTCAAACATCAGTACGCAAACCAAGGACCGAAGCCCCCGGCGCAGGAATGCGGAGCGTTAGCCGTTATCCGTTATCACCAAGGCAACCAGGCTTCCGCCAACTACATCTATGAACGCGCAAACCACCTCCCTCCCTTCCCGGGGTTTCCTCAGGACGCGTTTCACACGGGATTGGCCTGCGGGGCGCTCCGTAGTCGGAGGTGTACCCGAACAGAAGATGGAGACGGAATTTGGATTGTCATTGGTTCGCACGCTGCGTTCCCGGAACTCCGTGGGCGTCGCTCGAAGGGAGCGTGGCCATCCGACTCTTAGTAGTTACTGTGCGGCGGGTGGCAGCGGGGAGCCGGGGAGCCGAGATGCCTCGGTATGCGCAGCTGGTCATGGGCCCCGCAGGCAGCGGGAAGGTGAGGACTTGGCGGGAGAAGGAGGGAGAAGGAGTTGGTGGGAGGCCGCGAGGTGCGGGTACTGAGGGGGAGTGTGTGTGTATTGTGGAGCCTGAGACTGGGCAGCTCGCTTCTGCCGTCTGGGCTTCAGTGCCGTTTTTGTTGTTGTTTTGAAAAGGGTGTAAGGATAGTTGCTGGTATTTATTGTATACTTATACCCCAGATAATGCGCTGAACGCTTCATTTATTTCCACAACAACCCTGTGAGATAAGTCCTATTAGTCCCATTTTACAGATGAGGGGACACCGAAAGGTTAACTTTTTTTGGCCAAGATCTGATCACACGGCTAGTAAGTGGCGGCGGGAATTTAAATCCGGTTTTCTCTCACTCCAGATTCTGGCCCTGCCTCGCCCCCAGGAGGTTAAAGTGGAATCTCGTTAATCAGTGTTTCTCAGAGCTTAAAACATGGGATTCTACTGTTTGAGGAGATTTTAAGGAGGTACATGGCCCTGACATTAGTAAACATTGAATTACATATTGAGATAGTTGCTCCCTTTTCAATTCTTTCAGTTTGCATTGAGGTGAAATGGCCAGTTTGATGCTAGTGTTATCTTCAACACTTATTTTAAATCTCCAGGTCTTTTCAGAGAGATCTTAGACTCAGAGCTTTTGACAGGCAACTATATTTAGCTAGAATGGAAAGAGTTGTAAAGCTGTATTAATTTTATGCTTACCTTTACGTTATGATAAGTATAACTGGCTTTCTGTTTACAATAGCGATATAATTTTTTCTTGTACATAAATATTAAGGGAAGGAAAGAATATTAGAGGGCATTCAAATATGGTAGAAATAGTGAAGATATTGGTCAAATGACAGGAGTATAGCTAACACTCGAGTCTGTGGAGGTGTCGTGTGGCTCCAGTCTTTACATGAACCCATTGTTCTGAGGCTTGCCCTAATCTGGGTGCAGGAATATACGTGTGACGGAAAGGGCCCAGTATGTATATGTCAAGTCACAGATGAGAAAGCACAATAGAGGTTATTACTAGATTGCTTTTCAGAGGGATGGTGTTAGAAAGCATCTTTCTATAAAACTTTGATGCCTACTATCAAATACTCACTGAGCCAGTTCTTTGTGCCAAGCACTACTGTTCTGGGCCCTGAAGATTGTGTTGTTGAACAAAACACACGCAAAATCTCTGGCCTTGTGGAATTTATGTTCAAATAAATAATTACCAAGCATCTCGTATGTGCCAAGTACTGTGCTAGTCCCTGAGCCTATAAAACTGAATATGAATAAAAGAAAAGGAAAGAAAACTGAATATGACACATCCCTGCCTTTACATAGAGCAGCGGTTCTCAACCTGTGGGTTGCGACCCCTTTGGGGGTCGAACGACCCTTTCACAGGGGTCGCCTAAAACCATCGGAAGACATATTTTCGATGGTCTTAGGAACCGAGACACCGCTCCTCTATCCGTCTCCAGGCCCACATGCAGATACGCCCACATACGAGTACCCGGCTTCAAGACAAAATTTCATTTATTTGTAATTAGAAAAAATATTTCACAATATATAATTACATATTGTTTTTGTGATTAATCACTATGCTTTAATTATGTTCTATGTGTAACAATGAAAATACATCCTGCATATCAGATATTTACATTACGATTCATAACAGTAGCAAAATTACAGTTATAGAGTAGCAACGAAAATAATTTTATGGTTGGGGGTCACCACAACATGAGGAACTGTATTAAGGGGTCGCGGCATTAGGAAGGTTAAGACCCACTGACATAGAGGGTAGAAGAGGTAGACAAGTAGCCTAGAGATTTTAACATAGTGTGGTAACGACTACATGAGGGATAAAGAATTTTCCAAACCAAAAGTTGCAAGCTCATAGCCCACCTCCATGCTGTTTGTTGACCTCAACGTTCTATCACTGGAATGCTGTTCCCCTGGCTTGGCAAGTACTTTCCCATCCCTCGGCTCACCTATCCCCTCCTCAGAGACTTTGCCTCTAATCACCCTGGCTACAGCTTTGCTTGAACTCTACAAGTCCTTGTGGAGACACCATGTGTTAGGTGCTGCACTATGTCATCAGAAATCCTCCCTTTAAATGCCTCTTGTTGCACGTTAGAGTAGTAAGGAGCTTTAGTGATTGTGGAGGTCATCCTAGTTAGAGATAAAAAAATTGAGGGGCAGTGTGGAGAAGCAGCTTCTCCAAAGTTACCCATGAGCCACAGCCAGGCTGGATCTGCAGCCAAGTCAGATGCCTTGATTCCCAGCCTGCTGCCTTTTCTGTTTTCAGTCAGCATCTTGGCCGATGAAGGTGTCGTTTTAGCCTTAGTAGACCCTGTCCAGGGTCTGTGGAGAATCCTGGGGGTGCAGGCAGTAGCCCTACATTGCTGTTGCTCTGACCTCTGGTTCCTTGGGACATTACAGAGCACCTACTGTGCCACCATGGTCCAGCACTGTGAAGCCCTCCACCGGTCTGTCCAAGTGGTGAACCTTGATCCGGCGGCAGAACACTTCAACTACTCCGTAATGGCTGGTGAGTCCTCGGCAGAGCCTCCCCCACTTCAGGAAAACTAAGGGGTGAGGAGGCAGTGAGGGCGGGCTGCTTGGCGCAGAAGCTGAACAGTGAATTATTACAGTCTGGTTCCCTGGTTTCGTGGTGACCAGCATCAGGCAGAATGTCATTTGCTGACATCCACTGATGTTAATGTGTGTGACAGTGTCTGTTCTTGGTCTCTGAGGTACGAAATAAAAGTGAGTAGATGCCTCACTCCCTGCCCTTATGTCCCTTTTCATGCTTAGTGCTGCTGTGGTGAATCTGGTTTACTGCCGATCATGCTATAAATGAGCAGCCTAAATATTTTGTTTTTTAATTATTTTAATTCATTCAAGTGTCTGGAACACCAACTTTATGCCAGATACCAGGGTTACAGCAGAGAACAAGATAGATACTATCCCTGCCTTCGCGGACCTTTTGGTGGTGGTGGTGGGGGGGGGACAAGCAATAAGCAAAACGCTAAATATGTTACAGATTGTGATAAGGATGGCAAACAGGCTATGGGAGGGAATGACTGGGGGAAGTTGCTTTAGGTAGTGCAGTCAGGGACGGGGTGCCTGAGATTGGTGGGGGGGTAGTTGGGCCCAGACCTGAAGAGGTAACGTGCTCACCAGGCTGGGGAAAGGCTTTTCAAGATGAGGGAACACCAAGGTCAATAAATAGCCTGGAGATGGGAAAGGGCTTGGTATGTTCCAGAAAAAGCAAAGATATTGATGAGCTGGAGCATATGAGTGAAAGAAAGAAGTGTGTAGAAGCTGGTAGGACATGAGAAGTTTGGGTTGTATCCTGTTTTCTTAGTCTGTTCAGGCTGCTGTAACAACATGCCACAGACTGAGGTGGCTTATAAACAACAGAAATGTATTTCTCACAGTTCTGGAGGCTGGAAGTCCAAGATCAGGTGCCAGCACGGTCATGTTCTGGTGAAGGCCCAGTTCTGTGTGTATGTTGCAGGCTGCCAACTTCTCCCTGTGTCCTCACATGATGGAAGGGGGTGAAGGGTCCCTTTGGGGCCTCTTTTATAAGAGCCCTCATGACCTAATGACCTTCCAAAGACTCCACCTCCTTGTATCATCACCTTGGGCATTAGGATTTGGGCATGAATTTTGGGGAAGACACAGTCATCTATAGCACGTGTCAACAATGGAATACCATTAGAGGGTTTTAAGCAGGGGAGAAAATTGGCATCTTTTTTATGTTTTTGAAGATACCTGGCTCTTGGGTGAAAACTGGACTCTAGAGGGTCAAGAGTAGAAACAGGGACCAGCACTGAGGCTATTGTATTGGGTTGTCGGAAAAGTCATGACGTATTTTTTCTACGTTTTTCGTTGCAAAAATGCGTCATGACTTTTCCGACAACCCAGTAGTTATCTAGGTGGCTGGGACTAGGGCAGCCGTGGTGGAGACATAAAGCAGTAGACAGATTCGGTATGTATTTTGCAAGTTGAATTAGCAGCATTCTGTGAGAGACTGAACCAGAAGGGTGTAGGGAAAGGAGGAATCAAGGCTGACTCAGGTTTCTGACTTGAGCAGTTGAGTGCGTGATATCATTCACTTAGGAGGAAGACAAGTTGATTGGTTTGGGGCGGTTTTCTTTGCACTTGCTAACTTTGAGATGTCTGATAGATATTAAGAGGCAATATCAAGGAGCCAGTTGGAGATAATAGTCTGGGATTCCGGGATGAGGTCTGGCCTAGAGATATGAATTTGAGGGTCAACAGCATATCGATAGAACATAAAGCTATAGGACAGGGTGGTTTAGAAAAGGACCCAAGACTAAGTCTTGAAGTCGTCTAATCTTCACAGGTTGGGTAGAGGAAGTGGAGTCAGTAAGGTAGCAGAAAAGTCAGGAAAACGTTACGTCACAAAAGCCAGGAGGAGAGGATGTTTTAAGAAAGAGCTGGTGGTGGGTTATGTCAGACACAGCTGGGAAGTTATAGATGATGAGGACCAGAGGAATGGCTGTTAGGTTCCACGAGTGGAGATGTTGGTGATTTCGGTGGAGCGGGGAATGAAAGCCAGATTGGAGCTGTTTGAAGAGTGAACGGAAGGTGATGCAGTGTTGGCTCTGAGAGGAGAGGACTTGCTGAGGAAGGTTTGCTGTGAAAGAAGCGGAGAAGTGGGACGATAACTGGAGGGAGGTATGGGGTGAAGGGGGGCTTTGTTGTCAGGTTGGAGATGGTAACTGGAATGGACGTGTGTGCTGAAGACAACACTGCAGCAGAGAGAGAAACGGTCGATTCCAGAGAGTAGGAATGAGAAGGGAGAGAGGGTCCTGAACAAGAGGAGGGTTTTGCCTTTGCTTCTTCCATTGTAACAGGAGGGAAGGCAGGGCGGGAGGCACCATGGGGTGCTGGTGGGAACATGGGGAACTAACACTTTTGTTAGTTTCTTATTTCTGTTAATGACATATGTGGTTATCAGCTGAGAGTGGCTGGAAATGGGTGCGGGTGGGGGGTGGAGGCAGGTGAAGAGAGAGGAGGGGCTATGAAATAGTCATCTTCCTTGAGAAAAAGGCATTGCTTTGCAAAAGGAGGATTTATTAGAATCAGGGAGCCTCTCACAAAACCCAAGAACAAGACTTTATGAGAGATTAGAACCCAAGACATGAAAACTAATGGGAACCGAGGCCAGCTGTCTGTCTTTCTCTCTTTCTCTCTTACAGACCAGCTTTCTCTACTTCAGGATGTATGTTGCCCAACAAGGTCCCTCCAACCCCGGGTTCACATCACTTTCTGGTCCAAGTGTCTTACTGACTGACTAGTGTATTTGCATCATCATTTTAGAACACCGATTTTATTATCCCAACGTAGGTCAGATGTTTTCCCTGGGAAAGGACGTAGGAGGATGTTATCCACATACATGCGCCTGTGAGTAAGGCACCGTTTCTTATGAACAGAGATTGTGGGTTTGAGCACAAAAACAAAAACCTACCCTAGAAAGTTATAAATACTGATTTCCAAAAATTTGTGATAGAGAAGCACCATGCACATACCAGTTTTTTAAGCCCCTGCTGTAGGTGATTTAGCTCTGTTATCTCATATACTGATCCTTCTACCCGCCAGGAGATATGATTTGCTCCCCATCTTATAAATAAGGAAAGTGAAGCACAGGGAGGTTAAATAACTTCCCTGGAGTCATCGCGTCAAGAAACAGCAATTGGTTTTCTTGGTTTGGTTTGGTTTGGTTTTACATGTTTTAAAATAGGTAGTGTATATTCACATGGTTCAAAATGCCGAAGTTACAAGAGAGCCAGTGTCTCCCTTCCAGCTCTGTGTCCCCATCCCAGGAGGCAGCCAGTGCTGCCAGTTTCTGAGAGGTCTTTCCATAGACAGTCTGTGCATATAAAATCAGATCTGTATTATTATGTATATATCCTGAGCCTTTGTCTTCCTTATTTATTTATTTTTAACACAAATGATGGCATTCTTACACAGAGTTCTGCACCTTGCACTTTTCACTTAACAGTACACCTGTGAGAATGTATCATAATCAAGTGCTTATAGAGCTACTTCCTCTGGTGGCTACATAGGAGTCCATTGTCTGGCTGTACAATAATTCATTGAATTAGTTCCTGTAGAGGCTGCTACATGACTAACCACGTACATACGTGTGAGTTTTTATATAATTGTTAATTATCACCAGTGAGGATAACCATTTCCAAGTGATCATTTGATCATTTGTGGTTCTTATACTCTGGGCCCTGTCTGTCCTTCCCAGACATCCGGGAACTGATTGAGGTGGATGACGTGATGGAGGATGATTCTCTACGGTTCGGTCCCAATGGAGGATTGGTATTTTGCATGGAGTACTTTGCCAATAACTTTGACTGGCTGGAGAGCTGTCTAGGTCATGTCGAGGACGACTATATCCTTTTTGACTGTCCAGGTAAGTCAGCAATTTGAATGTGTCGTTTTCCTCAAAGTCGTGCAAGGTCCATCCTCAGTGGGAGAAAACGGAGTGAGCATTAGTAGCTTTAAACCATCCATGCTGCAGGAAGGTAGAAAGCTCTTATACGTTGGCTCAAATTCATTGAGTTTACTGAGGGCTAACCTCTGTGCACTGGGGATACCGTGGAGAGCCAGGCAGCCATGGTCTCCATCCTCGTGGAGCTCACCGTCCAGTGGGAGTGCTAGACGGTGTAAACAGAACTCACCCAAATGACTCCTTCATATTCACTTGTGACAGGGGCCCCGCCCCACAGGAGTAGCATAGACCATCACATAGCAGGGAGGCTGGGGGAGGCTTTTGATCCAGTGGCCTGTAAGCTAGGCCACAGGTGAAGGTGAGGGACACCATGATCCAGGCAGAGGGCAGAGCATGCTGCAGGCCTCGAGACAGGAAAGAAGGCACCAAAACGGCCTGTGTGGCTGGAGCACAGTAGACAAAGAGAAATGTCAGGAAGTGAGGCTGGGTTGGGGACAGAATTGCACATGGCTTCTTAAGACATATTGTGAATTTTAGACTTGAGTGTAACCTAGCGTTGATCATTTGTGGCTCTCACTTTTTCCCCCCTTACACACACTCTCCGAGAAGTGCAGATGTCATAAGTGTACAGCTTGATAAATATTCCCAAACTGCACACACCTTTGCAGCACTCGCTTTTTGATCAGCGAAAATTACAGTGTGAAGAACATCATGGTTTTGTGATTGCTTCGAGAGGCTTTAAGACCCCTTAAAAATGGAATATATCACTACCAGGAATTGACTTCCCCTTTTCTTTTTAACCGTCCATCTTATTGAAAAATTTTTTTCCTGTAATTTGATAATTTAACATATTTCCTGATTGTAATAGTCCTGTAATGTTCTTCACATAGGTCAGATTGAGTTGTACACGCACCTGCCCGTGATGAAACAGCTGGTCCAGCAGCTAGAACAGTGGGAGTTCCGAGTCTGTGGAGTTTTTCTGGTTGATTCTCAGTTTATGGTGGAATCATTCAAGGTTTGATGATAAATCTGTTGTTGATTTTTCAGTTATGGGGACAAACAGATGATAGTCTCCTTTAATCATCGTGCAATTCTGAACATTTCACAAACTATACTCCAGAGTTATTTAGTATCCTTTATTATTAAATTATTATAATATGTATTTTTAATTCAAGTGATAAATTATATAGATTTTGGGCGACTAGAAAAATGAGGCAGATAGGTATTGTGTAAGTCTATTTTTCGTTTTCTGAGGACCTTTTGTCTAGTTTATGAACTATCTAAAACTGTATTTCTCATTTAATAGCTCTTAAGGAATTTTCAGTGGGAAGGTTAAAGATATCATCTGAAATGAGATTTGTGAACACTAGATTAAATCTACATCTTCCTTCCTTCTCTTCACCTTTGGAAACCAAGGGTCAGCCATCTGATTAGTGGACTATCTTATCTTTAGGGTTAGCGTTTCTTTGACTTAGGCCAGTTTTGTTTTAGGGAGGAGCAAAAGCCTCTCTTTTATGCAGAGACCAGGGACCTTTGTGGGCACCAGTTGATTCATCTCCCCTTTCCTGTTTCCTCCTTCAGTTTATTTCTGGCATCTTGGCAGCCCTGAGCGCTATGATCTCTCTAGAAATCCCACAAGTTAACATCATGACAAAAATGGATCTGCTGAGTAAGAAAGCTAAAAAGGAAATTGAGAAGTGAGTTCATGTCTTCCATTGTTACCGGATTTCAATTGCAGAGATGAACCTTCTAAGCTTTGTTTACATGTGATGTTCTGTCAGTCTATATAAGTCCAATTTCCTTTTATTCATCAGTCTCTCGCTTTTAAAGATTTCTAGATCCAGACATGTATTCTTTATTGGATGATTCTACAAGTGACTTCAGAAGCAAAAAATTCAAAAAATTGACTAAAGCTATATGCGGACTGGTAAGCTTTTTAAGTGTTTTTTTTTTTTTTTTTTTTTAATGACCTGGTTAGTAGGTGTTTACTGGTTTCCATTCAGTGGCCACCATTATGGAAAGCATGGCCCAACCCGATTTCCTTGCAAAGGAGAGGTGATGGTGAGAGGCTACAGGCTGGCCGGTCAGCAGTTTAATTTAGAAGCAGTTATTGGCAGTAGCCAAAAAAAATTAACTGACATGTCTATTATTCCAAGCCATATTGGGAGTTCAGAACTGTCTGTGCCCTTTTGAAATTTCCAGTGGTTGTTGAATTCAGATAAACGCTTATCAAATAGTGTCTAGTTAAGTAATAAATTGAGTGTTCTAAGTAGGTCAGAGGTCAGAAAAATATTGATTTGCTGTCATTCTGTCTGTCTATCTCTACCCCCTCACACACAAATGGTTTAATGAGGAGTATAAATGGTTATAAAACTCAAATATAGGTTGAAAATTAAGTATTTTACACAATTTCAGAATGACCCTTTCTGAAATCCCCAATTTGTAGATTGATGACTACAGCATGGTTCGATTTTTGCCTTACGATCAGTCAGATGAAGAAAGCATGAATATTGTATTACAGCATATTGATTTTGCCATTCAATATGGAGAAGACTTGGAATTTAAAGAACCAAAGGTAATTTCTGCTTTAGGGTGTTTATTGGCTTTTGGTAGAAATGTTTGTTGGCACTCATTTGCCTTCTGTATAAACCCAAGAACTCAATTTTTGTCTCAGTGGCAGCAATAACCTGGGCTTTTCTGGGTCATCTCTGAAACTGACACCTGAGCTCAAGGAACAGTATCATTTTTACTCCACCTTTTTTTGAGGCAATGTTACTGAGTTATGTTTCTTTGTACTCAGAGCTTGGGGTATATGCAAAGAGGAAGTAAAATCCAATGGAACTTGGGATGCCGTCACGTGTCAGTGGAAAGACTATTATTAATGGTTATTGTCAGTAGGTCACATCACAACAACTTAGCTGAGAATCGACATGAGTAAACTCATGTAAAAAATGCTCCTAACGAGATATAAGCACTTTCATTTACCACATTCCTGGAAATAGTCTATCAGTCATGCCTTTTGTTACTATTAACTATTACCTATGAGTAACATCTGGAGCGGTGCTGGGTGTTTGCTCCTTATAAGAGTGTTACCTGAAAAATATGTAAACACATACTATTGTAGGTCTAACTGAGGGGAAATGAATGTATTTTCTATTTTGTGTTTCCTTTGTGTCAGGAACAGGAAGATGAGTCTTCTTCTATGTTTGATGAATATTTTCAAGAACACCAGAATGAATAAAGAGTTTACTAAAAAGTAACTGTATATATGCGAAGAGCTTGTGGCTGAAACATCCGAACAGTCTTCTCAAAGAATGCAATACAAGAAAGCTACTTATTTTAATGGAAAAAATAATACCTGGCTTTTTATCAGCAGCATGCTTCAATCAGGTTCTTAGTTATTCTTGAAACTGCTAATGTTTAAAGTGGAATCTTTTACTAATATTTTTATAGCATCAATTTAGATTTTAAAAGTTGAAATTGAAATGAATGCACATAGATTTGTATGTAATATAAATCAGTACCTGTGGTACAGTTAAGACCTGTAAACAGTTTGATTTTTGTTATTTTTGAAGGTTTTTTTCGAGGAACAGGAATTATTGTTACAAAATGTACATATGTGTGTCTAAAGGAAAAAAATTTGGGAGGACATAGATAAGACCATTGTTTATCCGTATCTTCCAGTTTTCCTACATTGAAAATGTATTATTTGTATAGTTAAAAAATGAAAAGTAACTATGTTTTAAGATATATATGTATAGAAATAAAAGAAATAGCACTGACCTTTCATTATGCTCTTGTTGTCTGGTCAGAAATTGAAATACTCAGCCAGGGCAAATGTTTGAGTAAATTTCCCCAAGTAGGGGAGCTTGACATGGTTCTTACGACAAATTTACTGGTGGGTGCCCGGCACTGGGGATAAAATGGGAGCATGCAGGACAGACAAAACCTTACTCTCATGGAGTTGACATGTTGGGCCCTTGAGACTAACCATAAACAAGGAAGTCTCTGATAAGGAATGGGAAGAAAACAGTAATGAAATGGAGTGACTAACAGGCTGCTTTGGGCTCATTGTCAAGGCTCCTCCTAAAAAGTGCTGTTTGGCCAGAGGCCTAAATGAGAAATCAGTTGTGGGAACATGGGGCAAAGTATTCCAGTCTGAGGGACTGGGAGAAGAAATAGCCCCAAGCAGCAGTGAACTTGGCTTTTAACATGAGGTGCTTTCGAGTAATAGGTTAAAAATTCCTGAGCCTTTAGTATATTCCAGGCATGTAAGTTCTAAACACTTTACATGCAATTCATTTTCAGATGAGGAAACTGACACA